TGACATTCGTCCACTGTTATTTTTTCGCCCTCTCCACCAGTATCCAAACATTTTTTTGTTGGATTCTCTCTCATTTTTTTTTGTTCTCTTTTGTTTGGAGTCACTCCCTTACCGAGAACCCATTGTACAATTTTAATTGGCGTTTCAGTTATTGAAATGTTGCACCCAGATCGATTTAAATGTACCCTATAGTAGGTAGGGTAGGTAGGGTATCGTGGAAAAATGGAACATGGAATGGAACACACGCGCCGCGTGTCATGCAGCAGACCCTCTCGGTTTGCTTGGGTTTACGAGCGCAAAAATCTTCATTCGCAGCCAAATAGTCGGAGAATTTTCGACCCCTTTCTTTATGCACTAAGAATCCAGAGGAAATATCTCGATATCCGTTTCACCGAAAGAAATAGCCTTACTATTTACCAGTTCCGTAAAAGATTTACCACATTCCGAGAAATTTCTTGAGTTTTTCCGCCATAAAAGTAAGTGCATCCACTAGTCCCCCGTTAAAGCACATTCCAGCATTTATTTTGCAGGATATTAACAGTCAATAATGTCAGGTTATTGTCGAACATATGCGGCAGCGATTTTTCATTGTCGCCTCCAATAAAATGTTTTCTCCCTTTTTCCCATCTGCAGACATTTAGCGCCGTTTTCCCGGTGCATTTCACTTTTAATATGCTTAATGCGGAAGAAGAACAATAACTTTATAAAGTGTCACTTCTGGCGTTGCCAATAATGATTGATTTTCAGCTCGAGGGCTATCTGCGATGGCCATGTGTGCATAGAGCAGATTTCCCTTAAGCAGATGTCCGCAACTTAATTGAGTTGCAACGGATTCTCCGATTTAATTTAATTTTCCCAGCCTGGGCTTTCTCTTTGTTTTCGTTTGTTTCAGCTTTTTGTTGGGGGCGGTGTTAATCATAATATGTGGCCAGGTATCCAGCTTTCTGCATTCCTCTGGTGCTTTAGCAATTGTTTTGCTAATAACAAACACGAGGCTCTCTAATTCCCTGTCCCTGCAATCTATGCACTTTCTCCTCATCCATCCACACAGGCAGCCATCCGACAGCTCACGTTGGCGCCTTGGCAAAGGATTAAGGCATGCTCCTGTCATGCATAAATTCTGCAAGATGTGCAACAGAGAGAACTGCTGGTAGGAGGAGTCTGGGGTCTGGGATTTGATTATACTACGTTGCGTTTGAAAATTTTAAGGAAGATAATTCCTAAATCTGAAAATTACCAAATTTATGATAATTTTCTGCTACACGTTCACATGTGCTACTGCTCTGTAAGGTCGGAAAGTAGGTCTCAAAGACAATATAATTTCAAAAGACAGATAGAGGATAGAGCCACCAACAAAATCCACCCTGAAAAAATCGTGTACTATGGAAATATATGGGCTTTAATATGGAGACTCTTTATTCCCACTTTTTAAAAGGGTTTACTTTCCTTAAAAATTCGATTATGATTAAGCCTCTTTCAAAACTCCAAAAATACGTTTTCACAACCCAAAATCTGTAAATCATAAGCTTCCATTCGCCGCAGTCTCTGTTTCAACATCATCATCATATCATGTTTAATCCCTAATAAAGTTTCAGGGTTCGACACCCAGCAAACAAGGCAAATATCTTTCTAATGACTTACAAACAAAACCCCGAAACCCGAGACCGAACCCAAACTTCCGTTTGGGAGCCACAACAGCAGCTAAAGACTTTGCTAATCTCTGAACAAAACCTCAACAGAAGCCCCATCGTCGTACTACCGCCTCCTTCTAATGCATTTTGCGACAATGCGATAAACGTTTTAGGCAAATATTACAATAATAATTTACGAATACAACAATTCTCATCATATTAGTTTTGTGTGTGTGTGTGTGGCCAAAGGGATTTGATGCTTGAATTTAAGGCACCATTTTTTGTTTGTGGATTTTCACTTTTCATTTGAATATTCCTGGCATTTGCACTTGTTCGTGTCTCTCATAAATTATGGCCAGTATTTTTGGCTGTACAGCCAACGAATGTGAAAGCATTTTGGATGCTTAGATGTTTGTGTTTTTGATTTATTTGTTTCAGAATTAAATTGTGAGAAGAGAAGTGAATCCTTTTACCTCATTTCATTTGATTTTGTGAATATTCAAATGAAATATAAGATTTCATAAGCATAAACAGCTTAAAAGAATGCGATTTCATTTGAGTGAAATATTTTCGCAATTTAATTTGCACATCTTTAAAATCAGAACGAAAATAGAGAGATTAATGGTGGTGATTTCAATTATGCATGTACATAGTTACTATAAGTACATATTTATTAATTCAATGAAAATGAAAATGAAAATGAAAATGGAATTGGAATCGAAAGAGAGACAAAATCGGTACTAAATCACCATAAACATCATCATTTGTTTCTCTTTAACGCCAGTGCAGTGCACAGTGCATGTGGAATTTTTCAATTTAATTCTGATTTTAGCATCATAATTCAAATTGACTTTTCCTTTAATACTGCACATTCCTAAAATGCCTGGCCCAGACCGCATGCTCGTACTGCATTTTGTGACAGTTTAAAAATGTTCATAAATATTTAATTGTGCATTCAGTGCAATCGAATGGTAAATTCCATGGCAAATTTCAAACAACTGTCACGATTTCCGTGTCAAATTACAATAATTTTAATTTAAAAAAGATGTGAAATTGAATATAAAATAGAAATAAAAACTGTCCAAACGAAGAAAGGACAAACTGAATTAACCACGAATTACAAATCAATTTAAATGCGGAAAAAACTTTTGGACGAACGAAGGAAACTTCTCGTTATTCTGTTAGCCTTGGGTAGCGGAAAAGCGGAAACTTTTAATTCAATTCCATGTCTCAGGCTTGTCAATAAGAAGTTCCAGGAGACCTGGGTCCTGGGACCTGGGACCCTCTTTTAATGCAACATTTTTTTTCGTTTGGAAATGAAAATTTGTTTAGTAAATTAAGAGTACTTAAAGTGCAAGTCAAGGAAGAGCCAGGTCTCCCCAATCTCTATCTCTACGTATTCCTTCCCCGGGAACACTGGAACATTATGTATTCTTTTTTAAAACATGCAAAATCACGTCTATGCATCTTAATAACTTTTCGTGCTTGTGCAAACAATGCGAACGTGAAAGTTGAATAGGTTTTTGCTTAGTTATCAGGAGGGTGCCCCCTTTCATCCTCCTGGTGGAAAACGGAAAGGAGGAGGAGCAGGGGATGGAGACACAGGCGGGGGAGGGTTCAGGCTATGGACTCTCAATGCATAAATCAAATGTACATATTGTAGTTCAAGTTAAACTTAATTTAGTTTCTTCGAGTTTCGAGCAAGTTTTCGGGAAACGAGAGAGAAAGACAGAAAGCGCTGGGAATCCCAAAAATACTCCAGTAAAGTGGGAGTGATTCTGGTTTCTGGGGAGAATGAATAACGTTTGTTATCACAAGTATCATTATTTAGATATGCTGTGCGTTTCAGGTGGAAGTTTGTGTATTGGAATCCATTATTTTCAAAGAGTTTCGCTATCAAAATGATTTAGTCGTAGAATCATACACTAATCGCTTCGATTTTTATACAGAATCGAAGAGAAAATAAAATAACTGGAGTTAATTAAGGAACAAATGGCTGATGGAGTATTAATATAATATAGAGTATTGATATATTCAATAGCCAGAATGCTTGTGTGCCTCGTGTGATATTAAAGTATATCGAACGAAAGCTTCTGGATTTATCGGAAAAAGTGTAAAAAATCGATTGCATTGGTTATCATCGAATAAATTGATTCATACAATGATCAAACGTATAAATATATCTAAATATAGTCGCCAACAAGTCTATAATCAAAAAACGACTCTCACACGCCTTTGATTACTCATCCTGAGGTCCATATATGTCAAATCCATGGCCATAACTTTGTTAAGAAAGCCCATCCATTCCTATTTCCAGTCCCCAAAACAATTGAATTGCAAGGAAACCAATCAGTCAACAGAGAGGGCATGGGATTGCCCCACGTAACACAGTCTTCCTCTGAAAAAATCACACCAAAAAACAAAGTTTCAACAATACAAAAATTAATTGATGACGTACACACACACACACACACACGCACACAGATTCCACAACACAGTGGTGCAGGCACAGATGCGCACAGATGACGCACCAGCACTAATTGGCAGCAACAACAGCACCACCATGTTGGTGGCATATAGCCACGAAGTCGATTTGATAACAGGAGAACAGGAGAGGCATGGGCTCTGGTTTTTGGTTATGAAACAACGTAACGGAGACCGTGACAGAGGGGGGGCGGTAGGTAGGGGGCTGCCAATGGCCTGGACATGGCCAAATCGATGCAGACATAGACGAGCAACAATCAATCAATTAAATGCCTGACTGCAGTTCCCACAACACAACTCCAACGAGAATGAGAACGAGAACGAACATGACCCCAATGCAAATAAAAAAAAATAAGTAAAAAAAAAAACACAGACTGCCTTTTAGTCAGCCTGGTCTGCACAAAAAAATATTAAAGATTTATTCATGTTTCTGTGTGGCATGCAACACTTAAGTGACATGCATCAAACAGAAAATGCCCCTGAAGAGAAAATAGAGGCAAGGGAATCATTTGGACAGAAGACATTTTGCTGAAAAATTAGTAGATTTTAACCAAAATTTACATGGCATTGGGAGCACTCAAATGTGGGTCGAAAATATCGAAATTAAAGTGGAAATTTCCATTGAAAGGTCACCCGAAAAGCAAGTGCTAATGGGCATCCCCTGAGTCGTAAACTTTTGGAATTGTTTTAAAACTTAAGTACAAGCCGTCTGGCCAGATGTTTAACGTTACTCAACACAAAAGGTGTGTTTGTGTGTGTGTGTGGATCGTAAAAAACTAATCAGATTGATTAACAAAATTTGTGAAATAATGTAGAAAACGTGAAGCCCTGGAAATACCAAAAAGGCAATCTAATCATTGAACAGAGATAAGGAGCAAAATGAGCTGTCGCTTATACCAAAAATAATTTATTAACAATTTGTTCTCTATACACTCTTTTTAGTTCATCTTTAAAAATAGTCTAGGCATAAGTTTTGACCAACAGCAGGCCCACAACGCCGGCTAGAATTGTGTAGATGCTGCTGCTCACTTTTCCCGCCGGACTCTTGTTGCACTTATCCCCCGAGCAGGTGCGGCAGTGGGTCTTGTTGTAATGCCCATAGGCGGGCTTCAGGCTCAGGTTGCAGGGACCCACAGCGGGATGCAAGCAGCCATGCAGCTGGTGGATCACTTGATTGTCTACAAAAAGAATCAACTCTATAAGGATATGGCTCCTGGGAGGATTTGCATACAAGGCTACTCACTCCAGGTGTACTGCAGGGACATGCAATCGAAGCGCGTGCTGGTGGCATTTATCACTCCCTGATGGTAGACCGCCAAGTGGTGGCTGGTCTCATTGGCCGCCGCATTGCTGCAGGTGGTCTTCTTGGGCTTCTTGCAATCGTTGGGGGTGGTGCAGGTGTAGCACACCAATGATTCGGCTTTATTCCAAAGGATATTTGTATCCATTATATTTCTGTAGACATTTCTGATTGTTCGTTTCACTCACCAAACTGCACACAAATAATGGCAATCAGCACACTGGCAATGATGGTTTTCGTATACATTTTTTTCGGGATTTATTTAGTTTTAATCACAATTTTATTTCACGGTTTCTTTGCTCAACGGCTTTTGACTTTAAACTGACTTTTGGTTGCTATTGGAGAACACTTTTATATCGCATTTTGCTCTTTGAAGGTGCGGTCTTTGCGAGAGGGAGAGACTGAGAGAGTGAGAGAGCACGGGCGATAAGCGATATACCATACATGTTATATTAAGATTAGCTTATCGACAAAAGCTTACCGTGAAGGGTGAGGTTTTACGACTTTTTGAATGAAAAGGTTTTCGCCCAGATGTTTTTTTCTTCTGGTATTTACATTAAAGAATTCAGTTTTTCTTTTTGATGATTGATTAAAACTAAATCTTAATGCGAATCAAAGCCCTAGTTGTTAGAGCTCGTTAAAATCGTATTTATTTTAACATTAAACTAGACGGTCGAGCCCCTTGTGCACTCGCTCAGGCTGTGAGCCAACCCCCGGCTCACTCGCCACGTTCGCTCGCAGCGATAACACGAACTCGTTCAACACGAGCTCGTTCAACACGAACTCGGTCTTGCACGATTATAAATGTGCTCTCTTCTTAATTAGAACACGCTAAAAACCCCGTTCTAACACGATTAATAAATATGTATTTTTTCAAGACATGACTATTGATGATGGGCAAGATGGGCAATTTAAAGCAAAATAGTTTTAAAAAATCCAACTAAAAATTCAATAATGACTGATTTTTTGATAATCACACAAAAAAAAAATGTCACCAAGTGGATTGGAAATTTCATATTAATATGCTATAGCCCCTCGTACTTTTAAAATGCCTTCCTTTTGAAAAAGTTTAATCTGTTAATGATTTTTAAGAATAAAAAATGTACACCAACTTTTTGATAATTTAGAAAATATTACCATTAAGTAATTAAAGCATAATGTAACTTTTTGTTAATTTTGAAAAGGTTTTGAATAAAAACAGACCAAATTTAAGTAATAAAACAATTTTTGTATTGCCTTTTTCGAATTCAAGGAAGGTACCACTTGAATTTTTATTGAATCCATGGAACGTAATGCTCATGTTAAGCTAGACATGGATTCAATAAAAAATGAAGTGGTACGTTCCACTCCATTTCTTGTTTCTAGGAGCGTGTTAGGCGAGGGCAAGGTTCTTAGTTACCAGCTACCACAGTTCCCTCACTCTCCGCTCACTCTCAGGTCTTATCCGACTGAATTATCTATCTTATCTTAATCCAACAGCTTAGTCACAGCCTGAGAATTTTCGCACTTGACTGTGTCGGGTGGGGTCGCCGCCCATAAAAACCCCCGAGTTATCGCCTGTATCTCGCAATTGTGTGTACCCCCCATATCAATATGCTAGCTATTGCGAAAGCTATAACCATATAATACTTAAAACTGGTAGCGCTTGAAAGGGGGAACTTTTCGGATTGAATGGAAATGTTTTAAACTACGTTTTAGGCAATCAATCATAAAAGACTGTGCACAAGGCTGATTCACAGAACCCGGATTTCACGGATTTCTTGCCTCATACGTTTGGCATTTTATCCAAACTGGTGACATTGTTTATACTAAATGCCCCACCAAAACCCATAAAGAGCTCATTCGTTGAATTTTTAAGGGAAGTGATAAAGCAACAAATGAATGCCACTCAACTATGAAAAGAGATATCATAAGACGTACTTGAGAAAAGTCAACATTTTTGAGAATAAAAACAAACAGGAAGTCAATTTCCGAGTGGATCCTTCGCTGATCCCACAACTATTTTATATTTACAAAACCATGCTTTCGATATTCCACGCATCAAAAGTCCTTTCCGAGTGACATCTAACTAAAAATCTTGGCCAGAAGGAGCGTCAGGACGGAACCAATCATCGTGTAGGCGCTGCCACTGAAGGTTCCCGCAGGATTCTTGTTGCAATAGTTAGTGTTGCAGGTGTCGCAGTCTTTCCTCCAAGCGGTGCTGTTTGCACCGTCCTTCAGATTCAAGTCACAGACCTTGATATCGGGATGGACACAGCCCAGGAATTCGCTGGTGCGATTTTTGTCTGTTGGGGAAATTCGGGAAGGGATTAGAACCGAAGGATTCCTTCTAGAGGAGTCGTCATCCCGCAACACTTACACGTGATGTCGGAGTAGGTGAGATTGGTGCACAAGAAGCTCTGGCTGCCTGCTATTTCGGGGACATTGTGCAACGTTGCGAGAAACGTGGTGCTGTCGTTGGCCGTGATGTTGTTGCAGTCCTGAAGCGTGGGGTTCCGGCAGGTGTCGGCATCCTTGCAGCTGTAGCAGCTCAGGGAATTGGCTAATTTTGAAGTTCGATTCAATTAGCAAAAATGATTCATCCTGCAGCACTCAAATTTCTCACCGAATTGCACGCCCACAAAGGCCACAAGAACCACAGCAAAAATCACTTTCTTCCACATATTTAAGAGTTATTTATTTTATTCTTTTGATCGCGACTGTTCTGCAGACGAGCTCAATGGAAACTGATGCAAATGCACTCCATGGCATCGCGTTATGTAGGGCGGCACATTTGACGATAATAAAAAAGCGGATTTTATACCCAGTATAAAGATTAGATTTGGCCTTATCTACGTGCCACGACCCACATTGAGTCAGTACACATTTCCGAGGAATTGACTAAACCACACAGGCCGAAGACATATTGATTTGAAAGGAAGTACTCCTGGAGGGGAGTCCAATTTCGAAATGCTATTCAGGGCAATATACTTCTAATTCCTTTCCTTTCCGATTGCGAACCATACACATTCACACATATGTATTCATGGATCCCATTTGGTCATTAAAGTATTATCGTTTCGTCTGCAAAACATATCATAAATCATCGGGTATACAATATGTAAAGCAATTCGCAGATAAACAGAGAAATAAGGGGAGATAGAAACCAGAAAAAAGTGGTTATTCTTGTATAGAAATCGTGGAAGCATTTCGGCATGTGTGCCTCGACGAAAACGGTACGACTGTTTGCATATTTGTTCTGTGATTGGTTCCTGTGGAATACTACTGACAGGAATGGTCTTTCAGTGGCAATACTGTATGATAAATATGTTTTCAGGCTGATAAGATAGGGTCATGAATAAATATGTCTATCTTTCTATGGTTTCACGCAGTATGATAACAGATAGCATGCGAAAGTGATACAAAAAAATCTACATTCGGGGTATAAAATATTCAATTAAATTCCAATGAATGTTTAAGAACGCTATAAATATTTTTTCCATTTTCCATAAGCTTGCCTTTACTTAATATTACCTGTGCAGAGTATTTCCCTGAACAATGAATCTATTTAAAATAAATAGAAAAAAATACTAAATACTCATAAAAGACTCATTTAACAGTCATGATCTCACACCCATAAAATAGGTAATGGTTCTGTATTTTCACACAATTTGGAATGTGAAAACAACTTCACAAATAAACTCCCGGATAATATCCCGACCCAGGCAAGGAATAATTTCAAACTAAATTTGAAAGGGACTTTTGCCTGAGGTGAAATTGAAAATCATACATCACAATCCTGGCCATTGCCCAGGACATGCCACGAATATCTAAATAGCAGCACAGCAGCCTCTGGCAGGAGGAACAGCAGACCGCAACGAGGCTAAGCCGCTGTCAAGGATGCGTGGGGGAATACGACGAGTATTACAAATGACAGGACAAATGAGTGACTGCATGGGAAAGCCAGAATCCGAATCAGAATCTACGACAGAGAGATGGAGCGCACTCCAATTCTGTAAACAACACAAAAAAAGGCATCGCCTGCGGTCGAGATTTAAAAAAAAAATATATATATGTATATCTATTACGTACGGGGATGTACGATGTTCAGGTAAACAACAGAATTACAATATGCTTTCTTAAAAATTAAAAAAAAAAATATACAAGACAACACAGAGCAGAGTAGGAGAAAAGCGCAAGCATTGCCTGACAGGACAATAAGCAAGGATAAGCATCGAAATGATGATGATGATGCGGATGGTTGTGGAGAGTGGCTAAGAGGAGCCAGCCCCCAAAAGAAAGACAAATACAAATACAAATACAAATACAAACACGGTTACGGATCTCCGACAGGCGACAACGATAGCAAAAGTCGTACTCGTAGTCGGCCGGAGCCTTGACAGTTACATTTGTGTCCTGTTGCGGCTCTCCCTACCTCCCTCCATCCCTCTCTCCTTCTGTTCTGTTCTGTTCTTGTATCACTGGCTGTTTTTTGTTACGGGCTTTGTTTTTTTGCACATTCCCGCATGCACATTGCATTCATATTCCAGTCACGTATCCTTTTTAATCCTGACAAGAATATTATTTCCATAAAAAACAGGGAGAGCGAGCTAGTGCCATGGCAACATCCGTGCAGATCAAGCATACGACGCGTAGGCCACCTAACTGAGTCATAGACAAGTCGGAAATGGCCACGAACCAGATGTATTTAATATTTTTGTTGGATTTCATTTCGTTTAAAAGAAAGCGGGCAAACAGGGAAATCGTAGGCTTAAAGTCGGAGAGGAGTCTCCTTTTCCTAAGAAAGGCATAAGGGAGAAAATATCATGAAAATCATGATATACCAGCTATAAATATCGGTCTGTTTGGCAGATCTCAGGCCCTGAAAAATCAACTTCATCTTTTCTCATCAATATGCATTCTTCTATTTGGAAAAACAAGAAGCCAGTGTATCGAATCCTTTTTTTATCCCCGTTTGACCACATAACAAATTACAAAAGCTGCAAAATAATTTATAACAATCGATGGGGCAGCTGCTGCTCCTGCGAGAGAGAGAGAGAGAGAGAGAGAACAACAATGTAGACTACAATGCAAACAAATCGACAAACTATAATAATAAGACAGTCCCCATGGTATGCCAGGAGATAAAATTAGAGACTGAAGCGAGAGGGCACAACAAGAGGGGGTGAGGTGGAAGACAGTAGTGGAAGGAACAGATAGTAGGTAGGTAGCGGGGAAGGACTGTGGGGAATGCCCCAGTCATTGCATTGTCTGCAGCAGCTGCAAAAACTTTCAACATCCAATGAAAGGAAACAAACAAATTTTACATTTTCCATGTCTCGACTGCGTCCACTGGACACAGAACAGAAACAGAAACAGGAACAGAAACAACAACAACATCCGAGCAACAGGAAGAAAAAGGAGGCAAAGGAAAGCGGAAACGAACCAGAGAGAGAAAAAAGAGTGGAGAAAACCCAGAAGAAAAACAATAAGAAAACAGCTTAAGTACTGCCACAAGTCGTTAGTCGGGGTCACCATTTCCAGGGGAATGGGCGAGGAAAAGGGAGGCACTTTAAAGGGTAAACAATTGTGCATCTTAATTCCATGTTGTACAGTGTTTAACATAATGATAGGAATATTGAGAGTTTTATACTTTATACTCATCGATTATCGATTATTAATTATCAAATATTCGCATTTAGTAGCTGTACTCACATTTTCGATTAGGTTTTCGTGGATGATCATAATTTCCGATGAAAGTTTCCTTTTCTGACAGTTCGATTCCGAAATTTTGTCGATTAGTTGATCTTTTAACGGGGGAACTCTCCATGAGGACATATTTTTAAAATCCAATCGTAGTAATTACTCTGCCCAGCATCTCTCTTCTAGGCAGGCATCATCTTCTAGGACACTCCCGCCAAAAATATGAATTCTGAAAGTTCGATAATTGCATTTAAATATTGTATTAATGATGATTCATTCTCTTTTTTAGCATATCCCTTCAAATCTATACCCACTATCTTATGTAAATGGTTGTTTTTTCTTTGGCTAAAACTAATAATCGAATACTTTCGCTACGCACTATACAGAAGTACAGCCCATATCCTGCCCTCTCTTCAGTTCATTTAAGAGTGAAACGTAGCAGTAGCTCCCATGCATTATCCATCTACCCATAACCGTTCAATTTGCAGTTCATGTCTTGACTTCGGTGCTACCCTTCTGCTTCCTTTTTTTTGTGGGTCCTGCCACTTGCTGTTAACAAGTTCACGTGCAAAATTGCAATGACCCAAAGGACATGCCATTCACATATACACACACAGGAGCACTCACAGGAGCACACCCTTTTTTGCAATTTGCAGGGCTCCCCAGAAACCTGCCTTCCTGCCTTCCTTCCTTCCTTTCCGACACGCGTGGTCGCAGTGCTAACTGCTTTGACAACAGCAGCTGGTAAATGGAGAGCATGCAGGATGCAGGAGTTTCGAAAAACAAGAGGCCAAACGACCAGCAACCGGCTGAACAGTTGCACCAATTTGTGGCAGCATTTAATCAACAATTAGTAGTGTGTGCCCCCTCTAAAACACACTTGAAATTGACGATGGAAGTCACAAGGGGACACACCCAAATAAGAAACTTATGGCACCGCCACCCAGAAGTCATATTCACTTTGCATATTGCCTCATCTTGGACTTGTATTTGCCTTTGGGCCAATTATTAAGTAAATTTGCTTTCTCTCTCTGAATGTCTGTCTAGAATTGTCGATATGGATATGGCCGGCGACTGTGTTTGGTTCTCTCTATGCTGCTCTTCCTGCTGCACAGACTGTGTCAATATTATTTTATTGGCTTGAAGGTTTTTCTGGGTCAATTGCATCTAGCTGGAGATGAATGGCCTGAGCAGAGGGCCATAAATGGAATGTCTGATGCGCATAAACTTTAAATTTTAAATAATTCCATGGAAAACATGATCTTTGGCTTGAAATGGATAAATACAATGCAAAATAAGTTTTTCCTTTCTCTGCAAGAAAATATTTGAAATTACCGCCCTATTGCGTGGCATAGCTTGTAGCTTTTGTCTGACCACGTTCATAGCAGTACACAGTTAGAATGTTAACCATTTATAGATTTTTTTTATGCTAAAAGTGCATTGTTGCAACGACACCGAATCAAGAATATATTTTGGAGTAAATTTTAATAAAATAACGATGTCTGCATTCTGCTTGACTTTTAAAATTGCCATATATATAGACCGCCAAATAGTTTGCTCCTAGCCAGTGTCATAGCACCCAGAATCAAACCACGCATATGTCCCGTCACTGTTAACCATAACAGCGCTCTGCCTGAACTTATTTAACACTAGCTTCTGTAAAAATGAGCTTTAGCGCTCAATGTAATTTTAAAAATTCCAAGACCGTTCGTTGTTTTCAAATTTCAAATGGAGAAAAAGGTAAAAACCAATCTCTATGTTAGTATCCACTACCAAACATTTTTGTTAATAACTTTTTAATGATTTAAAAATAAACTCAAACTCCACTTACAGATCCTATCCAATCCCGAACGGCCGACACTCGAGAGTATACGCCTGGGTAATCTGGCCGGGCACAGCCGTAGCCCCAGGAAACGACGCCCCAGAGCGTTCCATTGGCGACCAGCGGACCACCGGAGTCTCCCTGACACGCATCCTTGCCTCCTTGCTGCAGACCCGCGCACAGCATGCGATCCGTGATAGTTCCAAAGCTACCGTAGGCCTCGGTGCACTCCGTCTGGCTAACTGTCGGCACAGTCACTGCCCGCAGGATACTTGTCGGCTCCAGCGTGCTTTGGGTATTACCCCAGCCGGAGACCAGGACGGCTGTGCCATCCGCAATGCCCGCATCCTGCTTGGGCAGCCCGATAAATGCCTGCGTCACGTTCTTCTTGTCGTACTCCTCCAATTCCAGCACGGAAAAGTCGTAGTCGATGGTGTAGGTGTCGAACTTTGGATGTCGATGGACGCGCTTGATCCCCACCAGGATGCCGCCAGAGTCTGTGCGCGTGGAGCCGATGCGCACCTTGGACACCTCGATGGCCGATCCCTCGGTGCAGTGGGCGGCGGTGAGGACCCATCCGTGCCCGATCAGCGAGCCGCCGCAGAAGTGATAGCTCCGCTGGAGCGACACCTGGTAGGGTATCGCCTCAATAGTCGTCGCCTGGCCGCCCACAATGCGTCCATCGAGGCGTGGCCGACGCGCCGTTCCCGCCAGACAGCAGCCAACGAGAAGGAGCAGGAGGATCAGGCAAATGGCGGGCTGAATGCGTTCCATGGCAGAATGTTGTCCCAGTCCATGGCATTTGGGGTTTTATAGGTTCTGCAATCTCTCTAATCGACTATCAATTGGTTTTTCAGGGTCCATCGGCGCCGCACTAGTTGTGTCCACTTGGCCTAGTTCGGCGATGAGCAGGCACTCCGCTCCGATAAACAGCTTTATTGGCCCACCATAAATAATGTTATCTCAAGGGGTAAGCGCGACCAGCGACCGCTGCACTCGCCTACAACTTGAGCCAGGTCAGAAATTTATTGTTAGAGGGCATCTCAACTAGTTTCTCCAGCCGCAGGCCATTCTCCGTGGCCAAATCCTTGAGATCCTTGATGTCCCTCACGCCCCACGAGGGGTTCCTTTGCCTGAGGCTGCGGTCAAAGTCCACATTGCTCTGGGGCTGCAGGACGCCATCCTGGGCGTACGGTCCGTAGGTGAACATTTTTCCCCCCTTCTTAAGGAGCACCCCGGCGGCCCGGAAGAGTCCCACGCTGCAGGACCAGGGGCTGATGTGCATCATATTCGAATTAAACATATAATCGTAACTTGCGGCCTGCGGCGGCGCCTCCCAGCGCCCGGGCTCCTCTGTGATGTCCACGTGCAGAGGCGCCCGTATATTGCCCGTCACACAATCTGCGGCGTACGCCGAAATGGAAGAGAACATTTCGCGCGCATTTTCCGTGGGCTGAATGCTGATGTTCGGCAGAAAAGGCGCCAAAAATCCCGCGTGCTGCCCCGATCCTGATGCAATCTCAAGCAACTGTAAATTCGGCGTGTTTTTGTCCACCTGCGCCACCAGGGCATCGGCAATGGGCTGCGAATTGCGGTCCGCCGATGGATGCGTGCTCTTCCGGGAACTGCTGCAACGAAGGGAAGTGTGCAAAAGTCGCGTCAACAGACTGTCGGTGTGTATTTTAAATTAAATAACGGTACAAAAAACTCATTGTTTACCTCATTTTTTGGAAGAAAATTTAGTGTGACCAGCTAGGCAGTCACCCCAAATTGTCACTGGAAAATCACCTAAATAATGTAGAGCACGAATAGTATATTCTAGTATTTACATACAAATATAGTTAGTATGTAGCAAATGTGTAGTTACAGTGTAGTTAGCATGACAGAGTGACCGTTTGTGGTATTTTTCATACTTTTCGGTATTTTTTAGGTGAAAATAGAAGCGACGGTATGTTTACGGTATATCGGCATGTAATGGTATATTTAGCCAGTTTCATCAATCTTTTAATTTAATTTTCAATGTTATATAGAAATCCAATAAATGCAAGTATTTCGAATAAGCCAATCATGTATAGAATTGATTCATCAATCGTACAAAATTGAGTGGGCATGGCTAAATGTTCTATATAGATAGTATTATTCAACGGAACAAAGAATTTTGGTCATTTTTTGAATCAATTTGAGTTCGCCGCAGTTCGCCTCAGTTCGCTTTAGCAACAATGAGTCTCGTTCCATACACAAATGTTGCGCATTCCATACACAAAAGTTGCAGTAACATTTACTTGAAACCCGTATTGTAGTCAAAATAAAATACTTACAAGCAATTTAAAGATGTTAGAAAATAGAAAATGTATTCATCTATGGGATAAAACTAAGTGGGCAAAGCTGAAAACTCTATATAGCTTGAAATATCCGGATTTGGCAATACCCGGTTCGCAACAGATGAGTCCCATTCCATACACAAACATGTTGCTAATTCCATGCACACATACCCTGGGGGAAATGGATGATATAGAATTGCGGAAATGTGTTTCATCCCATGCTCTAATTAATGCAGAAACTAGTCAGTATCTATTTTAAACGATATTTTGCAATTAGTGGTCTTCTTACAGAGACAAAGAATCGCTACAGGGATCAGGTTTTATATACAAATAACTAATCAAATGCATGAACAGACCAAAAAAATGCAATCTGAAAGTAGGCCTTTATTAATCACATTTGAAAGCAGCTTGGAAAACAGTATCTTTATATAATATTCACGAAATAGGGTATACAAACGCCCATACCCTGGTTGACAACAAATGAGTCTGCAAATACCAGCAACATTGACGTCACAACCTGCGACTATTGAAAATTTTTGTTGAAATCGTGTTTTTGTCAAAACAAAAAACATGCAAGTACTTAAAAATAGTTCATCTTGATCAAAATTGTTTCAGCAATCATATAAAATTACCTGGGCAAAAATAAGAGATCTATATAGCTGGGAATATTCGACGGAAGAAAGATTAACCAAGAATTAGTCGTCATAACCGGTTCAGAACATGCACACATACCCTGGGGGAAATGCATGTTATAGAATTGTGAATATGTTTGTCATCCCAGGCAAAAATAATGTATTTTCAATATATTTTAATATAATTCAATATTATTTAATATTATTTTCATTATTTCAACGATATTTTAAAGCTAATTGTCTTCTTGTAGGGACCATGAATAGGTATCAGGATCGAGATATATATACAAAACACTCATCATATACATGAATATGTCTAAGAAATGTCAATTTGAGAAAAGATCTTTATTAGTTACGTTTTACCTTCATATCAATATTTATACTTTCATATAAAATTAACAAAATAGGGTATACAAATGCCTATATACGGCTTACACGCAATATAGCGACTCTTTTTTTGTTGAACTTTTTCGTTTAAACCTTTTTTTACAATAAATACAATAAAAGCAAGGATTAAAAACTAACCAATCTTGTAGAAAATTGATTCATCAATGGAATCAAACTGTGTGGGCATTGCTGAGAAATTTAGTTAGTTAGCATTATTCAATGGAATATCAAAATTGAGCAATATGAACGAATTTCCTTTTTCGTTTGTTTTGATTGACCTGTTTCGCTACTTGTTTTTTGTTTGACTTATTTCGCTAAAACCTCTTTTTACGCAAAATGCAATAAAAGCAAGTATTTAAAATAAGCCAGTCAAGTTCAGAATAGTTTAATTAATCGGTTAAAATTATGTGGGCATGGCTAAATGTTCTATATAGCTGGTAATATTCAATGGAATATCAAAAACGAGGAATATGTATAATATAACTTGAATTCGTCAGTATATTTACGGTATATTTTGAAAATGAGGCGGTATGTTCGGTATATTTTTGAGGGTATATTTTATTGATAAACACTGGATTTTACTGAAATTTTTTTTGCAAATTTTCTATTTTTGTGTCAAATAGCGTAAAAATTAAGAAAAAGCGATTGAGAATGTCTGACAACGACGACGACTTTATGTGCGATGATGATGAGGACTACGGTTTGGTAAGGAAACATTGAAAGGCAATAGAAAAGGAGATATTTCATGGCGGCGTCGGGTTGGGTGGAATTTTTTTTCGGCAGGAATATTCTGAGGATAGCAATTCGGAGCCCGATGTGGATCTGGAGAATCAGTACTACAACAGCAAGGCTCTAAAGGAAGAGGAGCCGAAGGCGGCGCTGGCCAGTTTCCAAAAAGTTCTCGATCTGGAGAATGGCGAGAAGGGAGAGTGGGGCTTCAAGGCCCTGAAGCAGATGATTAAGATAAATTTTCGATTGGTAACTACGTAAAATATGTGTATTCCGAATCTCTAATTAATATAAAGCTCCCCCAGTGCAACTATGACGAAATGATGGTGCGATACAAGCAATTATTGACGTACATCAAGAGCGCCGTCACCAGAAATCACTCGGAGAAGAGCATCAACTCTATATTGGACTACATTTCCACTTCAAAGAATGTAAGAATACACCACACAAAATGTACGGCATATTCTATGATTCATGTTCTTTGCAGATGGCTTTGTTGCAGAACTTTTACGAGACCACTTTGGATGCTTTGCGCGATGCAAAAAACGATAGATTATGGTTCAAGACCAACACGAAGCTGGGCAAACTCTACTTTGATCGCAGCGACTTTACCAAGCTCCAGAAGATACTCAAGCAGCTGCACCAGAGCTGCCAGACGGACGATGGCGAGGACGACCTCAAGAAGGGCACCCAACTGCTGGAGATCTACGCTTTGGAGATCCAAATGTACACCGTGCAGAAGAACAACAAAAAGCTGAAGGCCCTATACGAGCAGTCGCTGCACATCAAGTCGGCCATTCCGCATCCTCTGATTATGGGTGTGATACGCGAATGCGGCGGCAAGATGCATCTGCGCGAGGGAGAGTTCGAGAAGGCCCACACTGACTTCTTTGAGGCGTTCAAGAACTACGATGAGAGTGGTTCCCCCAGGCGTACCACATGCTTGAAGTACTTGGTCTTGGCCAACATGTAAGTGGCTCTAACAAGATGGGAATTCCGATTACACAATTATTCCCTTATAGGTTGATGAAATCTGGCATCAATCCCTTCGACTCTCAGGAGGCCAAACCGTATAAGAATGATCCTGAAATCCTCGCCATGACCAATCTGGTCAACTCCTATCAAAACAACGACATCAACGAGTTTGAGACTATTCTGCGCCAGCATCGTAGCAACATCATGGCCGATCAGTTTATACGCGAGCACATCGAGGATCTACTACGCAATATACGCACCCAAGTGCTCATAAAACTGATTAGACCCTACAAAAACATCTTTATACCCTTTATTGCCAGTGCCCTGAACATTGAGCCCGCCGAAGTGGAGAGCCTTTTGGTCTCCTGCATTTTGGATGAGTGAGAAAATACCATTGACCACTGTTATAATTGATTGATAATTAACGTTTATTTTTTTCGATAGCACCATCAAGGGACGCATCGATCAGGTGAACCAAGTGCTGCAGCTGGACAAGGTCAATAGCAGCGCCGCTCGCTATAATGCCCTGGAGAAATGGTCCAACCAAATCCACTCTCTGCAGTTCGCTGTCGTTCAGAAAATGGCCTAAATATGTAGCTATACTCTACGCCAGTTTGTCGCTTTTACAACCCATTAAAATATCTAGAATATATGTCCGCTATCCTTTATTCAAAATCAAGCAGTTTGCATCCTTTTCTGCTTCCTCGAACATCGGTTGTAGATGCACAAACGGAGTCTGTAGAACCCAAAGACACAAATGCAGAAGAAGCTCACCAGGACGATGCAGCCACAAATCGTACCAATGGCCAGGCCTGGTCTAGCCCAGTCCAAGATGGGATAGATGAAGGGATTGCCATCACTGAAAGTGGGCCATGGAGGAGAAAACCTAAAGGAATTTGATAGCACTCAACACTTACTAGTCATGTCCGTCGCACCAGTGGTAGATCAGGGAGAAAATACCAAATGTGATGATCACCGCAAAGGGATATATAAAGTGCATGATGTGCGCGGGAAAGGCAAGTATGAAGCAGTCCAGGACCATGAAAATCGAGTTGAACGCGTGCTCCCAGAGATTGTTCAAATCTGCACCGACTTCTGGCATGGCTACGGGATGATAAAAAGATGATACAGAGTTCTGTAACCTTTTCAGAAGATCTACTGACATGGATAGAGCGCTGCCCAATAAATAAGCGTTATCAACATCGACAACGTCACAGTTGCGAAATGGGAAAGCCAATAGATCTTCAGCCCCACGCTTCCAGGAGCTGCAAGTGGATGTTGTATTTCTCACAAGGGAAATCTTCATTGGATTAAGATTCTCACCGAAATACGCAGGTCTGATGAAGTAAATGGTGGCCACCACAGCGCCATAGATGCATACATAAAGGCACAGACTGAAGCCCCAATGCGTGAGATAGATAAACCAAGTGCCTTCGTTAAAGACCTTTATGAAACTCATAATCACCCCAGTAGCATAGAAAGCAACGAGGAGCCAGCGGTACAGAACCCAAAGAATACTTCGATCTCCGTGCTGCCATTGAGACCGACAAAAGACACCGGGGTCGTCGTGATGCAGCGAGAACTTGGAGCGCTGGAACTCCTCCCTGAAGGGCAGGCAGCAGGAATCCTCACTTTCGTCCCTCATCGTATGATTATCTTCCCTTTCGGTTTCGCTCGAATGGTCAGCAGCAGGTTGCTGCTTCGGTGGTGGAACTCGGACTGCCGGAACCACGCGAAGCAGGTGTGTTAAGGCCACAAATGGTTTATGTTTTGGGATAATCAATCGGGCAATTGCGCCCTTATCAGCCGGTTCGACAATCGTTTACATATGTATACTTAAGCACCCATCTCCGATAAGACCCCCAACGGACGCGTGGAGTTTGTGTCTTACCAAAAACCATTCACTAAATCTAAGGGTTCAATGGTCGTAGAAAATTTCCACACTATTTATATCCTAGGAGTTATTATCACTTGATTCATAGCCAAATCATAAATCTATTGGTACTCGCATGCCTTAAGTGCCCCGCGGGTTTTCCTCCAATCGAATATGATAGGAATTCACGAATTCTATTGAATATGGAGCATTGAATACCCTTGCAATTCAATCTGAATCTATTGTAGCCGTTCGGGATTTAATAGATCGTTGGAATTCCTGAAGATTTCTGACTAAGAATAAGCTTATGGTACTTTTTAAGATAGTAATAGTCTACGCTTTAAAATATCTAGAATATAAGACTGTTTCAAGCGGTTTGCACTGTCTCCGTCGAGGCTCTTGTCTCTGGGATCTCTACCTGCTTCCTCCCACAGCAGTTGTAGATGGACAGGCGGAGTCTGTAGAATCCAAAGACACACAAGCAGAAGCAGCTCACCAGCGCCACGCAGCCAAAAACCGTTCCTATGGCAAGGCCCGGTCTCTCCCAATCCAAGATAAAGTAAATGTAACGATTACCCATGCTGCAAGAGGATAAGGGTACGGAATATTGGATGGATTTTTTGTAAAACTATATATATCTTGGGACTTACAAATCAGTGCCTCCGGACCAGAAGTAAATTAGCGAGAAAATCCCATATGTGATGCCCGCAGCGAAGGGGTAGACAAAGTGCATGATGCGAGTGGGAAAGGCCACCATAAAGCAGTCAAAGATCATGAAAATTGAGTTGAAGGCGTGGGCCCAGAGGTTGTACAGTTCTGCACCCATTTCAGGCATGGCTATGAAAGCATTCAAAGAGAGATTGAGCAACCCTGATACCTACATCCAGTAGATCTACTCACATGGATAGAGCGCTGCCCAGAACACAAGTGTTATCATCATGGCAATCACCACAGTTGTATAGTGAGAAAGCCAATAGATCTTCAGAGCCACGCTGCCAGGAGCTACAAGAGGAAATTCGTCATATAATGAAATCATCAACCATCAATGGCTCTAAAACTCACCAAAATACGATGGCTTGATAAAGTAAATAGTGGCCACGACTGCTCCATAAGTACAGGCATAGAAGCACAGCGTAAACCCCCAATCCGTGAGGTAGATAAACCAAGTTCCTCCATTATAACTATTTACCAGGCTGCCAATCACACCTCCGGCAAAGAACGCTGCCCAGATCCAGCGGTACAGCAGCCACAGAATATTGCGATCCCCGCGCTGCCATTGAGAGCGACAGAAGACACGGGGATCGTCGTGATGCAGCGAGAACTTGGAGCGCTGGAACTCCTCCTTGAGGGGAAGGCAGCAGGGTTTCTGACTCTCGTCCAGCATGATCGTGGTCGGATGAACTCGGCGTCGCTGGCGCTGGACTAGGGCTGACAGGAGGGACCACACCAGGCGGCTGGTTCGCTGGTAGAACACGGACTGGCGGCGCCACGCGGCGTAGGTGACTGATAGCCATGCGAATGGGCCATAATTTCCGCAAATCGTTTTGGCTTGAATCGGCTGGTAATCGAGGTGTGATATGAGCCGACGGATCTATCGCTCCTTATCAACTGTTTATGTCTAACACAAAACAGCGAGCATTTAAAGATAAGACCCTGAACGCGAACGTGGTCAAGTTGGGCCAGAGCTATCCACTGAAGTGGAACCCTTGGCTGGTGCCTGAACTTGGAAAATCCTCAAACCAATCGATGGGGCCCTAAATGTTTAAATATGTCTTGGGAATTTTTGCACATGATTCAAAGTCAATAATAACCCTGTTGATAAACGTTTTCCGCATAGGTATGCGGCTTCTCCTATTTTATAAGGAGTATGACAGCACTCTACTGGCCCATACAGTGATAAGGAGTCGGAAAAAAAAACAAGTCACAGTGCAAAATATTATCGAAATGAGTACCATGGAGGTTGAAGTACCCTTTGCAATTCAATCAGAATCTATACATTTGATCTTTTGAATCCAGCTTTAGATGGTTTTCTAGAGCTGGCTTTAGATCTTCACTCCTATATTTGTGTCATTGGAGTTTAGTTTAGCTGTTTCTAAGATCTATATACACTCTGATAAAGTATAGCACCTGTTTCCACCTTTCAATCTTGCAAATTGATCAATGTTTTGGGTATCTTGCGGGTATCTCCCATGTGGGTGAATGGTGATTGACGTTGTTTCCTTTTCTGATATGGGTCTTTAACAATGTTGGAACTTGAACTTTTGAAGTTTTCCATTACGATTTTGTTTGCTTAAGACTGAATGGGGTTTCTGCTATAATGACAGTCAGAAACGTAAACCATTTGAAGCAGGAACTTTAGAGATAGTGTTGGTACTCATACGCCTATCTATTATGAATCATTTATTGTTGGAAATCGACTATTACAGAACAGAGCTATCGGAAATAGGATTCCATGACAATACACTTAGGTTTTTAGATCTCTAATAGTTTCCCAATCATGCCACACTTTACTGTTTCAAGTTGATAATTAAATCTGTTTGGATTAGAAATTAAATATTGACCACCTGCCATGAATTGCTGTTGCTTTAGCACTCGTTTGAAATTGGATCAGTAAGGCAGCCATATTGATGAGTGGATTTCCATCTAATGTAATCTGAAACCACGCTTCCAATCGATCAATGGGAATATTCCTTCCCCACACACAAAACTCTTGCAATTGTCAGGCAATTTCATCTTCAGATTCAGATTCCCACCGAGAGTCAGGAAAAGTGACATCCAAATTGAGTCCCAATTAGAAGCGTATAATTAAATTTATGCAATCAAGAGGATACATCATCTTATCTTTACAGACGTCGACAACACTTTCGACTGCTGCCAGGCAATGGCAAGGTCAGATGCAAGGTTAACGAACCTGAGACCCGCTCTCGTCGATAATTGGGGAGCTCTGCCTCCAAATGTAATGCTGGGAATGTGTAATATATAAACGATATATATATATACATATATATGCAAATTTAAGAGAAACGTCAATGGGTAATCGATGCTGGAGTGTGTTTAATAAATGGGTGTCTCGATAAATTGATCCAAATTCAATTGCGAAAACATGGCCAACGATAAAGTCAAATTGATGGGGCAAATGGGGCAGTAGTATGACCTATACCCTACACACTTTATCGCAAAGCTGGCTATATCGTGAGGTTGGGAGACGCCTTAAAAGTATAAATAGTTTTTTTTATAGTGATGTAGAATGGAGTTTTTGAAGAGGAAACCCATCTAAAAGGTAACAAAAATTATTTTATTTCATTTTAAACTTTATAGGACCGAAATTTCCCAGACATTTTTTGGACTTTAAGCTGAGTTCTTAGAGGTTATCAACAGAGCGAAAGCTAATTTAGATGCAATTAGTCTGTTTTCAAGTGCCTAATGGCTCTCTCTTTTTTTATGGATTAGATAAGGTACGTAGTAGAACCTTTCCCCCACTTTGCTTATCGTCTATTTATACCATTGCAGAGCAATGTAGGTCAGAAAAGAATTTTATACGTGAGTAATTCTTGGCACAGCATTTTGGCTCTTGAAATATTTCGATAGTGATCTTAATTGGTCGACCTCTATGGCTTCAAGTTCAGTGCTGGTTAACAATGACCGATCAGATGTGTGTGAGCGTGTGTGTACTGTCAATATCGCATTGACAAATTATTATCCATAAAACGGTTCCCACACAGAGACACAAAGAGAGTCCATCGTCTGCCATTTGACACTATACTCTTTTGGCAGCACAGCAGAAATATGTTCCATATTATTAATTGAACTTACTTGGCGATGTCGCTGCGTCGTGCGTCGAGAGATATGATCGGTTATAAAGCATGATATGTCTATAGTTTGTTTTCACATTTCCCGTTAGGCATTCGATCCCAATAGTCCCTCGCTCAGTTACGCGGTGCTGTGTGCTGTAGACAGCAGCTCCTCTCTTGACCGAAGTTCGTCATCGTTTCGGCTCGGGTTCGGGGCTCCCTGCTCGAGCGATCGACCGATCGGTGGGTTTCCGTATACCATATCGATCCCCCAGTAGTCGTGTCCGAGTGCGCGTGCCAAGTGGAGCTACTATTTGCTAATTGCTCCGTCTCTCAGCTACTGCTAACTTCCCCTCAGTCCACCCGTCTCGAGAGGGTTTAGTGCTGTTTCAAGATCACTGCCGCGACTCCAACATCATCGTTTCCCCCTTTTATATATCGCATTCTCTCTTTATCTCTCTCTCTTTGTGTATCTCTCCTTCTTTCTCCCGTTGGTGTTCGTGTGAGTCGTAAACATAACTCAAAGCTCTGGTTAAGTCAGACAGGGGAAAAAAGCCTTTTCGGGTTCGACAGCCAGTTGCCGGCTATACGCGACTCCCGTCGGAGCTCTCTTCCTCAAAATTCTGTTCCGCGATACAATAAAAACATAAAAATATGCAACTTTTCGATGACTTCTGCAAGAGCTTCAACAAGGAACTGCAGCGGGAGAATTTCGGCTTCGCATACAAACGCGTACATTTGTTCTACCGATCGCAGGTGAGGAATGTCCCCCAGTTACAGCCAACTGCCCATGTGACTTCATAGTTCAAACAGCAGTTGTAACTACTATATTTTTACCGAACGTTGTAATGATCGTGAGATCATTTCCCTGGAAAACTTTGGCACGTGTTTCGAAAGTTATGTGTGCTAGCAAACGTGTAATCGGAAAGAATGCAGCCACAGGCACAGCCACAGAGGCACTGGCACAAACGTAATGTGATAAACCAAGGTGATCAAATCAAATTAATTATATGATATATCATCAATTTTTCAATCAAAAGTTTCGATTTGATTCGATTCGATTCATATATTCAATCTACAAAGATCGACTGTGTTACATAAGCGAAAAGCTAGTAACTACTGAGTTCTCATAGAACAATAAGTAATGTGAATAAAAGCTTACAGCAAGATAAGCTATTTTAAAACTCATTATAATCATGTGAAGTTCGGATCAAAGTGTACCTCTCTAAATCAACAAACAACAAAGTTCTCATAGCACATTCTAATGAATGAAAGGCACGACGGATCAAAAATTAAAACACTTTAAGCTATTTATTAAAAAATGAAATTTCGTAACGAAAGCTTTACCACCAATGGAGTTCACTTAGAACAGTCTGATGAATGGATAGCTAGAGTGCTCCAAACGACACATTTGGGGGTAAAAGCTCTACCAAAACTAAAACTGAACCATGACAAAGCACCCAAACACCACCAGCTATCTAGATAAATGCAATATAAACAAAAATTTGATAAGGATTGCCATACTAATAAAGCAAATGAGGCAGTTTTTTAGACATTTCATTGCGATGTTGAGACAAAAGATAACAAACAAACAGAGTTTCAAAGTACGGTTTCAGAGAATAACATAATGAATCATTGCGCAAAAAAGTCCCGTGCAGAATTGGTAGCGCCCCCAAAAAAGAATTCGTGGAATGCGTAGAATCCGAATCTAAACAGGAACTAGACAATAGTGTGATACCGCCTTATCAGACTTCAAACAATACCCCCATAAATATCCCCCGAGAGTAGCGTAAACGTTGCGTAGATCCCAGCGATTTGATTTCCGCAAAAAATCGAGTTCACATCCAACTAATTTGATTATTATCATGATTATGAGTATTATTGCACTTGCGCAAACAGAGATTTTTTGATTTCAAAAGAAAACAAAATGTGACTGGCTTTATGGGCCCCATAATCGGTTGCCTACAACTGCTGCTACGTCATTGTGTGATAAGCAAAACAAAATGTGGCAGAAGCTGTCATAAATGGTTATACTATTTGTTTTTTGTTTTATGACGACCAAAGGTGTGGAATATTTAATTTAGAAATTACATAATCTACACAAACGATCATCCGTGTAAAAACAAGTAAATCTGCGATAAGGATCCTTGGAAATTTCGTGATTCTATAACAATGTCGGGGTCTTTAATTGAGACTTTTAAAGGTTGTATTTAATGGATTTTTACAAATTATAATTATTGATAGACCTGGAATACTTATTTTAAATGATTAAATTATATAAATGTGCAAAAGATCATGACGTTATGGCCAGACAAATGTGACCTCGGCGATAAGGTTTTATATGGGTATTTGATTGGAAATTGCAAGCAAGTACAAGTTCTGCAATAATGTACTTGAGCCAGGGATACTTATTATACTGATTATACTTATATGGAACCTTCATATACTCGTAGTTTTCTTGGTATTATTAAGCAACTATAAAAAGCTTTCTTACTAAAGCAATCAGCTTTCTTTCTACTCCAAAAACAGTGGCAGAAGGATGACAGCAACGTACTCTACCTGCTCTATCGATGGATATGGGCCCTGTTCTTCCTGGGCGTCTATATCATGTGCATTATTGTGCAGTTCTGCGATGGAAAGTTCTTCATTTACATGACTAACTGGGGATATGGTCTGTGCACCATCACCATGCTCATTGCCGCAGTGCAGGTCACCTGTTGGCACTACGATCTGTGGAATACCCGGAGTCTAGTGCAGGAGTCTGGAAACAAAACGGACACCACCAGGGGGCTGAAGATCTACTGGTGGCTGTACAATATGACCATATCGCTGGCATTGATCATTTCCACAGTGTACTGGGTCTTCCTGCATGGCAAGATGAGTGAGTAGACGATCATTGGATTACATAAGTGAGATAGATCTAATTGCTTCTATCAACTTTCAGATAAACCCATGCGTTTTCCGGCCATTAGCGTTATTACCCATGGACTGAACACGGTGATGATGCTGATCGACTTCCTGGTCGTGGCATTTCCGCTGAGGCTCCTGCATGTGGTCTACAGCATGGCTCTGGCAATTCTGTTCTTTGTCTTCACCCTCATCTACCATTTCTGTGGGGGCACAGATGAGTAAGTGTCGCACCCGCATATATATATATATCTAGTTGAATAATGTTCATTTAATTTCCCTCCACACAGATTTGGCAATCCCTATGTGTATCCCATATTGGATTGGAACAATCCCACTCGCTGTCTGGTGACATTTGTGGGCATCTTTGTGCTGATCATGTGCTACTGGCTCCTGCTCTTCGGCCTCTACAAGCTGAAGAGAATGTTCAATAGGGCCTTCAGTGTGGTGTGGACACCGCATGCCGTTGGTCTCATATGAGGACCGTCAATATCACCCCCGCACATATAACAATATACAAGTATCACCAGCATTATACAACCGTCACGTTTATATAGCACATCGTCACTCACACACATACATATCTATAGTATAGCGAAACACTCTTACACATTCGCATGCATTTATTTATGTCTAGTATTTGATACAATAAGTTTTAATCATCTGGTTCCTTAATGTCGAAGCTACATTTATCAATTGGTTTAGTTAGGATAGTAAAAAGTCAAAGATCTTGTTACTATAAGAATGGCATAGTATATAGATATGAAAATTGTTGAAAATACTCTATGCATTTGGTATGATTCTGATGACCCAAGCAAAAAATATTGTGAGAAATTTGAAATTGTATAAAGATGAAATAGCAAACACATAAGATATAAGAAATAACATCGAAATACATAGAAAACACAGCTGACAAGATTTTAGTGAAGATTATATAAGAATATTGAAAATAAAAAAATGTCTAACGAATTTTAAGCGTTGTATGAAAGTTTTAAATGAGAGACTCCCAGATCTGAGTAATTGTCTGAATATCAAAATATATAAGAATGGAATTGAATTAAGTTATCAATTATGATGTATAAAATATTCTGGTATTGACCGCTGTTGATTATTGAAAAGATGTAGCTATAGAACTGATTTCTGTACTTCCCGAATGTACACTCTATATACCCAAATCTTTCATTTGAAGTGGAACGAACAGGAGGTTCAATGACACCTAGAATTGGGTAACGAGCATTCTCATTGTCGGGTTTGTTTCGCTTTAAGTCTGACTCTAACCCAATTCCAAGACTTACCTTACTTGATTCGGCATTCGTCTTTGTGTAAGACGTTTTCTTTGTAAATTTGGTAATTAGATTTCAAGACCATCGTATCGTGTGTGTGTGTCACAGCAAGAAGAAAAGAACAAAACGAACTGTAATCAGAAGAGGAATAGGAAATTTGTTTATTTAAGGCATACCATACTCTCTATTTATTTGGCAAACTGTACGAAAAACCTTTATGTTATTCTTCCAAACATTTGCCGAAAAGAAGCAAACACACACACTAAGATGAACGAGTAATTAAGCTCAGAATTGATAAAAGAAGCAGGCAGAAAAACAGAGCTAAAAGCAAAGAGTGCTGAGGCATCGCGTCGTGTTTTATGGCTTTTATCGTTCTGTCAATATCTCGGAAGCACCAACAGCGCAGCTGCAGCGCAAAATAAAACAACTAAGATCGGTATTTGGATGCTACGACTAGGGTATACCCGTTACTAGGGGGTTTCGGTAGAAAACGCCCTCCCACCACGAGAGAGAGAGGGAAAGGAAGGGAAACATTTTCTGGTTGTAATACTTATCCGACTGGCTTTATTTTTAATGGATTGTTAGAAGACAAAAGTCACAGAAAATTATTAACTCAAACAAAATCTCTATCTTTATCCAGGGGTTTAGATACACAGAAAGAGAAGTACATACAACATATATCATATATTTGTATGGATTCGAAACCATTCTGCCCGTCACATACATCTCCATGGAGACAAGATACCCCCTGTACCCTATAGCAGCTGGAGCTTTAGCGCACGTAAACCAACCACACGAATCGCTCACCTGGTGGCTGCGATCGTGGTGGCAGTCGTCGGCGTAGCAGAAGCCGAGCCTTACCCACCACAAGCTGCGGATCGACGATCATTTTTGTACCGTGCGTCGCAACGAAAAGTCGTGATTTCGGATGGTCTGGTCTTCGCTATTCGTCGGATGGTTAGTGCGTGTCTCTCTCTATAGAGAGATGTTGTTGCCTTTTGGAGGTTCTGGTGCATTGGCGCGTGAATGTTGTTGAGTGTTTGACTGTTGTTGCTGTTGTTGTTGTTGCAGTCATCGTAATACTCGTACAACTCGAAAATATGTCTAGATACCGTTATGCAAAGTTGTTGTAGCTGTTGTTGGTGTTGCCATTGGTGACCCAAATAGAAATTACCAACCGGGCCAAAAAAGACAGTTTAGACAGATAGACAGCCCCAGCCAAACCCCGCGTCTAATCCGCACAACAATAAAAAATAGCAAAAAAAAAGGAGAAATAATAATAATAAGAGTTTGTGGCAAAAAAAAAAATACTTGGAAAAAACTTCACTGTCTAACAAAATAAAGATTGTTCACAGCAGAGCTTACTTCATTCTTTTTGTGGCAAGACTCTACATATTTGAATTGTTGATGATGATTGTGTTTTTTCAGTTGTCATGGCTCTTTACTGCTGTGTTGTATCCGAAGAAGAAATAAAGTTTTATTTCGTTCTTTATTTAGTTCTTTTATTTTCTTGTTAAAGTTTATAATTTCGGATGTTTGCGTATCGCATACGGATTGTCTCATTGGCAAAGGCTACGCTACTCACACGTACACCTGAACTTGAAGGCACGTTCAGAACCATAAAACGTTAATGAGTTAAGCCCCACCAAATACTGAAGTGAGCAATTATAAATTTCCTGTACAAAACGAATTTGGATACGAACTAGTTGAAGGTGAGTGTATTTAAAAGTCTGTAAAAGGTGACAAAGGTTGTTTTATTTATGGTAATCCCACGAGGTAATCTAATTTGCTGATTTGCATTAGAATAACAAGTTTTATCCGCATCTAAAACTGTGGTTTTAGTTGGATTCTAAGAGGGTGGAATCTTACTTAATTCTTCTTCAAAACTGACCTTCTTCAATCCGACAATTAAAGACACACTCCAAAAAGTCAACTTAAATAAAAGATAATTGAGTGCTTGATCGATCTCTGCCCTTCCTGTGGATAACTTATTGGATAACTTAATTAGCAGCTGCTTTATCAGCAGCCGATAATTGAGACAGAATGACAGTTTTTCTATCGTAAAATGTTCAAACAGTTAACAGCTTTCGACCCATAAAATGCTCCATAATGTTCCCTAAATGGAACACTTAACGGTTATATGTATATGGTTCTTAACTTATTAATCACTTTGCAACGCAGTTCTGTCGGCGAGAAGAAAACAAAACAATAATATTTTGTTGACAGTCTAATCGACAACCAGCAATTATTTAGAGGGTCCCCCCCATACCAATCAGGGTTTATCAATGGGCTCATTAGCGTCTCGTCTAAAAATGGTTTACTAAATAAAACCCAAGAATTTTGCTGATGCTTTTGCTGCGGTCTGGGGTGGCACTTGAGAATGAAAGTTTTTTTATTAGCATAAGAAATGCTTTTGATTTCACTTTTGTTTGAGACCCAACCAGGTTGAAAAATGATTGAAAAGATTGTGAATTAATCAGACCAACGCGTGGTGATTGTTTTGTCTGACGATCTTGATAAGATCTGGATAAGATCTTGGCCGTGTCTGGATAGTCATTTTTCCTTGCCATTCACCCGAGCGGTTTGACTGCATTCAATACGACAAAATTATTTACACAGCTCGTAAAGGTCAACAAGTTTTGTTTTTCTTCGGTTCATTGTGGTACAACTTCAGGGGCCATAAACCTATATATCTTGTCGTAGACTGAGACTGAGTACAGTCAGTTTCACAACAGCCTGTTGAGAGCGAAAAGAGCTGGTAATGGGAAGGCTAGGCTAAAAGTAGGTCTGCAAAGCTTACCTTCAACTGTTTTACCATTTCGATACGCACTGTAGACATCTGTTGTATGCTTTTCTGGCCCCTTTTGTACGACGAAAAATGTAGCACAAGCGATAACCGACCGACCGCCGAATGAGCGTGTAAATACAAGACTCCAAAGTGTCTCAGCCAAGGCAGCAGTAGTAGTAGTAGTAGTGTAAATGGCCAAACAGTTTGTTAACTGAATTGCCCGGCCCCCATAGGCCCCGCAACGCCGCTTCCCCAGTCAAACACCTCTTGTATAGACGCGTTTCTTGTTGAAAAATTTCATTAGCGTGCCGTTCGTGCAAGTTCAGGGACACTGAACATCATGTGTTTAATAACTCCGGAGCAGCGGTAATTATATGTTAGAAAAGTGAGCTCCAACCAAATGAAGTTTTTAGGAAAAATATGTTTAAAGTTGAATTGCTCTAAAGTTTTTGATAGAAAGAGCAGTAGTGCCTGCAGGCAATATCTAATCACAGGTGAAGCCGCTTTATGGATGACCCAAGGTTACCATAACCACAGTCATAACATTTTACTCATTCAGGAGATAATAGTAGTTGCGATTCCGTAGTAGTGCCTGTCTGGTTTACAAATTACCCAACTCTTTCGGTGTTCGACCTACACCTCGATCTGAAAGCTGAGGAGAACCTCTCTGACTTTAGCTTGTTTTCGCTTCATTGCTTCGACCTTAGCAGGCTAATTGTTATATTTTGTTTAAATTCATATTTTCAGTGCTGTAATTAACAATATACCCAATGCCAAAACAGCTGCGGAGGGATCATATTTCTATATGACATTAGTCTAGCGAATAATTATTCAATGGCTACGGCTACGACTATGAGTATACATATGTATGTACAATATGTCAATAAAGCGGGGCAGCGAAGCGAATGAACTGTCTGCTAAATTGATCTACAAATGATGAGCTACCAGACCATTGCACTCCATATAATTATATGATGAATAGTCATATAATGTCAGCATTATTAGCACCACTAGTCCCGGCTCTTGACTGCTGTCGTACTCGTGTAATTTTGTGTCTGATCTTTGCAAAACGTCAGGTCAGGCCAAAAGGTTGTTGCGCAGCCGCAAAGTAAATGTGGTAATCTGCCAAGCAAACAATCATTGAATCAGTCCCGAAATCATTACGTTTTTAATTTGATTCAAGCCTATGTTCAAACATTGAATTTGGAAATTCTATTCAAATAATATGCTTAGGGCTTCATACTCCCGCGCTCTGCATCGATCTTAACGTCTGGATAAGCCTTATGCAAAATGGCCTGGGACTTCTTATGATCGGCCTTGCCCAAGACTCCTGATTTGCCATAGACCTTAATGTATTTCTTCTGCGGATCATATTCGATATAGCCGCCGCCCAGGCCCTGGGTGCACAAACCCAATTTGTTGGCCTCCTTTTTAAGTTTTTCATAGATATTCACTGAGGGGAGGGGGATATATCTTGTAGACACTGAATGACTCTGTTTGGAATTTTTAACTCACAATGGTACTTGGCTCTGGGGCAGCTGCGAATCACCTGCCTGGCCTGGCCCATCATACCATGGATATAAACGTGGGACAGCACATATTTGGACTTTCCTTCCTCCAACGTGACCGAAGGGAATTTGAGCAGGGATGCCACTGCACTGTCACTATACGAACGTGGCCCACGAATGGCTGTCCCCCCCACATTAAGAAAATATATTAGTCCCCATTTCAGCTTCTATTCCATCGACGATTCAATTCAACTCACCCCGCAGTAGAGGACGCCAGGTGGGCAAAAGGAGCTTTCGGGTTATATCCATTTTGAGAAAGTATTTTTATGGAATTTTTACTTTCGTAGATGTTGACGACACAGAGTTGGGATAGGCTCTGAATGAAAATGACTTATGGTTGAGAGTAAGATGACTTCTCATCAAATGTGTACGTAGTTTTGAAAAAGAAAGATAGCTCTTTCCAAACTACGCACAGATTTGATGAGAAGTCATCCCACTCTCAACCATACGTTATTCTTTATGTGTCTGTACGATATCGACTAAAATCGTAAGGACTTGACCTTAATAAATATCCAGCCATATGATACCAAGAATTCATAGCGACCAAATTAAATATATTATATATTGATATTGATATGGCATATTGATATTTCTTAAATGACAGCTACCGCCAGCTGAATGCATCTGTATCCGCATATGATACCGAGTTTTACCCTTAAAAGTGTAAACATTTGTTATTGTTTATAGCACACCAAATAAAATAAGTATGAAAATAAACTCCACTTTTCGAGAGAAACACTTGCATGATTTTTGTATTTGAGCTGCTTAATTATAGTTGACTCAAAATATATATTTATAACTTTTCTAATATATTTTTCCAGATCGTGCTAAGCCCCTGAGCATGGCACCACAGCCAACAGTTTCCATTGCATAATCCCTTGGAGAACACAACAGCTGCATGCAGGCTTACGCAAACTTACGTCTAAGCCGGAAAGAGCCAAGCTAATAAATAGTTAGAGATAGAGGCTAACAAGAAGCAAACAAGATGAGCAAACTCCAGGTGATTGTTCATCCCGTGAAGAAAGAGTTTGCACGCAAAAGCTGCGGCTTTGATCATGACACGCCCGATGATTTTGTCAAATCGCAGGTAAGAACTATTCAGTCATATACCAAAGACAGACAGACGGACAGACAGAGTCTCAGATAACACCAATGAGAAAAACAAATACTGTAAAGTTAATAGCTCTCTAGGCTGTGGCGGATACGGCCTTGAGCACGCCACATCACGCCCACAATTGACACGCACCTGAGGAGGTGGATTATTGGTATTGCACTTGGTGCGGGTCAATGTACATGATGGGTATTTTAAAATGGTGTTCGCATGGGGCACGGCACATGTATTGGAACTCAGTTAGGGTAGGGAAGGGTAGTGGAAAGGTTAAGTGAGACTTCCCAGAACTTTCTCTTAAAGTAGCTGCCGAATATCTTTTAGTGTTAGACTATAAATTGAGATTATAAAACCACTAAAACTGCAAAGTAGATGTTTCTTCCATGGCTATACCTTGGGAGGTTCATAGAACCAACCCAAACCCAAGTGTAAAACGTAGTGGGCGTTCTGTTTGTTCGCATTTTTTCCAAACCATTTTCTGTGTGGACTACCTTGAGCATATTTGATGACTTCTTCCATTCACAGTATCAACAGAAAGTGACCTCTCTTTCTGGCCACAAATATTCAATATATACATGGTGTACGTATATATATATGACAGTAAAGTTCGCCCTCTGCACAGCGATTGTACTAGCATTTTAAATTAAACTATTGAAATATTCATAAGCGGCAAACCATCGCTAGCTTTGGGACAGAGCCACTAGCTAGCTAGATACTTGCAATACCTTATACCTTAAACAATAACCCCTGCAATTATATGGTTCCCATGAAGAACATTTATTTATTTTAATCAATTGAGTTACTTAAAAGCTTTTAATTGTCACTAAAACACTTTTATCGCAATCTTTACTCCTATATATATTTTAATTTTTAAATATTTTAATTTTATTTAATTTTAACTCTTTTTGTAGTGGCAAACATGTACTAAGAGCATGATATATTTGTTCTATCGCTGGTTCATGGCGCTGTTCTTTTTGGGCGTGGTAATCGAGTCCATGTGGCCTCTGGCAGACGATGATACCAGCTATTGGCTGTACTTTATCTACATGACCAATTGGGGCATATGGATGTGTTTGCTGACAAATCTATTGGGTGCCGTACTAGTCAGCATTTGGCATTATCATCCGGAATATGCGGGTAAGTTTGGGATATAGGTGTGAATATATATGGCTAAAGTTCTGTTTGATTTTTGCAGACAAACTTTTGAATGTTAAGAGTTCCTTTAGTTACTTTCGTTTATATTGGGGTATGCACATCATAACTCTGGTTTTATCCATTGTCATTACGATTATCTATTGGACTATACTGTATGATGGTAAGTGGCTCCCTACAAAATAGTATCTATATAAACTAACAAATGTTCCTTTCTCTTTTTCAGCTAATGAGAGCTCCTTGGACGCCACAAATGTGCTCACTCATGCCTTCAACTCGATTTGTATGTTCATCGATCTGTGGATTGTGGCACATCCGCTGCGGCTACTTCATATGTTTCTACCAGTACTATTCGGCGTCATCTATGCCATCTTCTCGTACATCTATCAAGTGTGTGGCGGCATTAACAAGTAAGGAAGCACTAATCATTCAATCATGATGAATGATCATTCATTTTCTTTTTATCTTTAGGAAAGGAAAACCTTATATCTATCATGTGATCGACTGGACTAAGCCCCAGAGCTCCTTCATCACAGTTCTGGGGATTCTTATTCTTTCCTGTTGCGTCTACGTCCTGCTTTTCGCTTTCTTCAAGCTCCGGATGTTCCTCCACCGGCGCTGCCACCGAGCAAACTTTGTTTTGCCCACGACTGGTCCTAGGGTGAATGGAGGATCGGATGACAAGCAAACAGGGAACGGTATACAGCACTCTTCCTCCCGCATATCCATGGTTCTGGGCAATTTCGCTGGCTACGAGAACCAGGCCTATGCCCCCAGTGTGGGAGAGCAGTCGAGTAAGAAATAAGTTAATAAAATAATCGAAGCTTTAGTCGCTTTAGTCAAATTCTCTAGAATGCTGTAGAATTCTAACCAGTGATATTATGTTTTGTAGATCTTATTCTTTAAGTAAATAAATATTTTAATGTGGAGGATTGTAGGTAACATTTTCTTCAAAGATAATCTAAAATTCTACTCTTTTTTCCATATGACCCTGGGGACAGAATCAATATTTAAACGCGATAACAAATAACAAACTGACTACTCATCAAAAATCCCATAAAATAATTAAAAGTTCAAAGGAGAAAAACATGTTCTCCCTTCCAAAGAACCTTGGAACACCGCCCTTTGGGAACTTTACAGTTGATGATCAAAAATTTATATAAAAAACTCACATTATGGCGGGAATGGGGATGGGATGGGATGGAACTTGAGAATGGGACACAGGACAGTCTTTAACCCTCTTCCATGGGGCGGCTTCAAAAGTTCTCATGCACACTCACATACTCAGATTCGGAGACCATTTTTCGGGTTTGAGATGTGTAAATATTTTAGTCTATTCACTAATCACCTTTGAATGACTTTATTGGCCCAAATACATGAGCCACGAGCGGGGCAATAGACCAGCAAGGACATGGCTAATTCTGAATAGGTGAAATCTATAAATAAAAGGTAAGCGATGGCCAGAGCTTTTCATTGAGAGATGCGAATAATAAACTACAGCTGTAATTGAAAGGGGATTCTATTCTATTTCTTAATTAAACATTTTCAAAGGGTTTTTGTTGCATATAAAACCCATTTATTTATTTCGTTTAATTTGATTCCAATTTAACTTTCTTTCCACGCCTTCATTTGATCCCCAATTGAAGACATTCAACCTTCGCGATTGTCCTTAATCACAGATGTTTAGGTTCGGATTGCTTAACCCAAAAGGCTCAACGAGCACACCTTGGCTGGGATTATGTACATATTTAAGCCAAAAAAAAGCACGTAGCCTTAATTAAGTTTCAAAAAGGCATTTAATAACCAAACGCCCCACCGGACGGGCTCAAGGACGAGCACGAGACACGAGCCTCGCTCCTCGATGTTGTGGTCATTGCGAAGGCTTTACTTTACTCATAAGTTGGAAAATTCGGGCCCCCACCAACTCTCGACCCACGACCCAATCATTTTGGGGGAGGTGTAGGTGTGGGTGTCAATTTCAGTCTATGGGATATACTATGACTGGGCTGTTGGTATTATCTGTGTAGTGGGTGTTGTCGTTGTTGTCCTTGTGTCGACGGGACACATGACATGTCCACAAATTCCAACAAATTAGGCGTCGCATCTGTGGTCGGCCATGGATCGATATGAGACCAATTTGATCGATATGTAATTTCCTTGAGCTTTGAACTTCCTTGCGTGTCCTTGCCTAAGCCTATGCCCCCCCAAATAAGCCCACAGACCCAGCCCCTTAGACCCCCTTCCTGTATTACGAGTCTTTCAACAGAACTTACAACAAAATCAATAGAATTTTAATTGAACTGATTTCGGAAATTTTGACAGCTGTCATCTGTCAACGCTTCTTCCCTGCCACAAAGCAGGACTTTCAGCAACAGAAAAACTTAATAATTACAGACAATTATTGGTGTGAAATATTAATTGAAATAATTCTTCTTTCCATTCCCTCAAATGGCTCGCCATATTCCCTCCGACAGACAGAAACCCATGCCATAGCACTAGCCTTGCATCTTTCCACTTTATAGGGTTAATCAATTTGGGGTTTTTCTTTTTTTTTGTCAATGTGTGGCATGATTGCGCAATGTTATTGCTATCAGGTTCATGAAAGACTCTTTCAGAATGGAACACATACTCCTACAGATGTATAATATAGCTCAAGTCATGATAGGCACACTCTTGGGCATATTATTAGATTCCATCTGTGATTTTTGGCATTCGATCCTTAAAAGTGTACGATGTACAGCTTAAGAATGTAGAGGATCCATTACTAAGATTAATTTCTAGATCATTTCGTGGAAAAAATTATGACTACTTTGAAGAAAATAAACTTTTCATACGAAATATATAGTATTTACAAAACTATCTGTTCCATTTGTGTTAACTTTTGTAGTATTTACTTCCAAAAAATATATCATATTACATAAATTTCAACCAAATGTTGGCTACTTTCATTTCTTCCATCCGACTCCTCTTATTATCCCTCATATCCTAACTGCCTGCCCCATATTGTTTTCTGTTTGGGCCCTCTCGACTTGAACAGCTGCAAGTCAAAGGATTTATTTAGATCGAACAAAATATGAACAAAAAAAAACAAAACAAAACAAAATGACAAGAACAATCAACATGGACGACAACAGCACGCCAACCGAAAGAACAGCAGGGCAGGGAGAATGCTTTAAAGTATTCCCTACAAGGTATTCTGAACATGTGTGTCGGTTGGGTGGTGGCGGGGTGGTGCACCTCTGTGAGAAACGCACTGCTGTGCGCTCTGGCTCCAGGACAGTCCTCTCGGACAGGACACAATTTGTTTGGAGCGCATAAACAAATGGCGGCGGCCCATGAATGACACAGTCATGGAAATAAGTGTAGAATGGTGCGTGAGGTTTCCAGGGAGAGCCAAGAAAATCCCAACCGTGATAGATAACCCCACACACCCACTCAACCTACATGCGGTGCGCCACGCGACTGGAATCGCATGTGGATAGTCGATGGATAGTCGTGTACTTTGTGGGGGAAGGGAGGCCAGGAAACCCGCTGGAAATTCATAAAGTATTCATTAATTGGAAAAGCGGGTGACTGAGTGACCAAGAGTCCAGTCCCGACTCTCGACCAGACGGAATCGGAATCGGAATCCACTCGGGGAGCTACCAAAGCCGAGTCATTTGTCAATTTTGAAATTCAGTTTCGTTTCGGACGTTCATCGAGCAGTACGTGCCCCAAACCGTAGAGCCCAAGAAGTCTGGGAAATCAGAACACAAAATCAGAGAGTACGCGGCAACATAATACCGCCAGCAGTGGCCTGTAGTTCCCCGGTTTTCGTGCGTGTTACCAACCATAAAACCCGACAAACCAAACCCCCAACAAGTATCCCAGAGATACCAACCAACAATAAACACATATATTGTAAATATATATATTTACATATAATAGAGAATACCTTTACCGTCGTCGTGGCCATGGACAGACGCTGCTGTTGCAATGTGCAAAACTTTTATGGAATTTTACAACAAAAAATTTCCCTTTGAAGAGCACACACCACCTGTTTTTTATACGGATGCGATAATTTTTCAACCGAGTGCAACAGTGCGTGTGCAAGAGTGTCTGCCGCCGGGCTGCATGCTCTGCTGGTAGATGCGTGGTAGGGAAAACAGCATTGCGAAAATTCAGCTATACTGGCCACCGAATGGATAATGGGTATTTGTTTAGACACAGGTGAGTAATGCCCCCCAACCCTGCTAGAGATTTCTGATCACAGATTGCTGTTTGGCTCTTGAAAAAATACAAATACCCCTAATGAGTCGCGGGTTGAACACGCCAAGGGGGATTAATACGGCACACGTTGGGTGTGTGAAACAAAGGGCTCTTCATTAAGAGCTTTCAAGTCGAAGGACTGAAGAGTTTTTATATTAATTGCACTCTATTTTTTGATTTTTTTTTCTGGCTGTATTTTATTTTTGATTTGAGGGGCTGGCATATGTTTCGTAGCATACTTTTAGGAGGAAATCTATATTTGCAAGTCTTAGAAATAACAAAAAATAACGAGAGCTATAAATTCATAATTTCACAATTTAAATATCTACTGGAATATTCGCTCTATGGTATTTCGTTAGACACATTTTTCGTATACGCATATTTCACCACAAAGAACAGGCAAGTTCAAGGAATTCCATCTATTCTTTCTATTTCACAGCAGAATAGATCTCGCTGGCCGTACCTCTGATAGAAAATTACCTTTTAATATTCAATTATCCATTACTCAAATGACAATTATAATTGAAATTGCTGCAATCATTTCTCTAAAACAATTATCTGTGTGACAAAACGATTTTTGAATGAAAGCTATATGCTATATAGTGTACGGTACCGATACGTACTTTCATATATCCATAACGGATAGAGGACCTTGCCCAATGCTATAATTTCTATCGGAACTCGGGTCATTCTCGGTGGCCGGCCTCGATGGCTGGCCATATCCTTGGTCATGTACGTTGACCACCAAAACCTAATACACATAAATCCTGAAAACGCGCGCGTCACCCACAAAAACAAAAAACGGAAAAAGGAAAACCATGAAAAACCATGAAAAGTGTCGCCTCTACACAGGCCGAAAAGGGATAGCAACAATAACAAAACATGTCAATTAAATAAAACTGCAGGAAAATCAATAAAAATGTCACAGGACCCAAGCCAGAACCAAACAGACAGCACACAGGACACTCGTGCACGACTGGAAATACGCGAAATTGCCGAGGTGGTTGATGTGTGGGAATGGGGATTGGCATAGGGATAGGGGAGATTCAGGTCCTGGCATTAGCCATATCTATGGGCTATAGCTTTGACAATGTCGCAGCTGATTTTCCATGAATGAACTCAGCGATGACGCAATTCCATACGATATATAGTATATGCGGTTGCTATACAATTAAATAATTGTTAAACATGTTTTAATGATGTGTTTTGTGCGATTTGTCCCCTGTGCGTTTCGCCCTTCAACTAATTTCCTACTCCTGGCAAATTGCTTCCGCCCTCTCGAAGGGGGCAGGTAGACTAATGCCAAATTGGCACGAGGGACTCTCAGGAGGCCCGACCGAGCGCTAACTTGCCAACACATCCGGTTTCCGCTTGACTAATAGCCACCCATCCACCCATCCACCCATCCATACCCCCCAGGGTCAACTGTTGCTCGAATGAAGTTCAAGTTCCTTGTTCTTGTTAACTTTTCCAGATGCCAGCGCGGCACAAGATACCGGCGAACCAGGCAACGATTGGAATCATACACGGAATCGGAATGGCCAAAATTCTGGCGACTTGGAGGCCGCTGCAGCAGCGGCAGCGGCAGCGGCGGGTACTACCAATGCCGTCGCTATCGATATGCAAAATGCTGGAAAAATCAAATTCGATCCGCCCAAAGTGCCAGTGATATTTGTTTTAGGCGGCCCCGGTAGTGGCAAGGTTACCCATTGCGATACCTTCATGCAGGATCGACGCGGTGTAACGCACATCAATATGATGGATCTGCTGCAGCAATATGCAATGGGAAATGGTAAGCAAACTAAACTTAGATTTAAGTGGAGCATTCGAGTTTTTTAATATGTATCTGTAGATGTCAGTTCTTAAGTTCTGAAAGCTCCAATATCTCTAACATCTCTAGCATTCTATAGATCTCTCAATTTCCCTTTACAGACATGCAGGACTTTTCTCAACTATCATCGAAAACGGTCACCGAAGTGTTGATGTTGGAAATGAAAATGGCTCCAGCTGCCAAAGCATACTTAATTTCTGGATATCCACGCTCAATGCGCGACGTTGTTGAGTACTCGGAGAAGGTAATTTTCTATCACTCGTCATTTGGTCACCAATTTGGTCCCTACAGTCGTTTTATTTATTACGAAACCACACCTCATACTTCGTGTGTTTGTGTGTCTTCTTGGCCCAGTAAATTGCTGCTGAACTATTTGAACTAATTAACTGGCAAATGGGTCAGCACCACACCACACCACACGGACAGACAGACAAACAGTTTGTTTATTCGGCCATAATTCCCATGAATTTACAGTCGAGTCGAGCACATGCTCAATTCGTTACACGAGCAAGTGCTAATTGGATGATGGGCTTTTTGGGAGTATTACGAATGTCCACCCTATTAACCGGGCTATTACTTTTTTCCGCTTCTTCAGATACAAGTCGTCAATGGCGTGATCTTAATATCCTGGCGCCAGTCGGTTCTGCAGAAGCAAATCGATTATGGTGCCAAATTAGGTCATGTTGTACTCTCCCTAGCCAAAATGGAATTGGAAAATTTCTTCAAAAATGTGATGCCAGTCGCTGATTATTTTGACCAAAGCGATATGCTGTTGGCCGTGAGTACTAAATTGTTCTATATCCATCTAGAGAATCTAGAGATAATCTCCCCTTCTACTTACTACTTAAGGTTAATGGCGAGCGTGCTCCCACAGAGGTGTATAAAGATTTTCGCACCGCTGTCTTAGATATACTTAGCACGCTCGAGAACCAAGAGGCCATGATGAATGGAGTTACAGGTATGGGCAGAGGGATACTTGATATACCCGGCAGTATTGTTAGCGTAGACACTGCACCTAGTCAAGCCCAAGCGACTCACATTGCAGACGACAACAATGCCACCGGCACCGATACCGAGACCACCTTGCCTCTGGCCGCAGATCTGGCCATCGATCAGAGTGTTGGCTTAGACCGCAATGTGGGACACCATCAGGGTGGCGGCACCACCAGTGCTGACGATGACAGTGGTGTGGTTGTCACACAGCAGCCAAAGCGCAAGCCAGATACCGCCGATCTACCAGTTTTACCACCCATTATTTGGGTGATTGGTGGGCCAGGCAGTAACAAAGCCACCCTCTGCCTCAAGGCTGTGGGCTTGAATCCCGGCTGGGCGCACATAAGGTAAGGATTAAGGCTTAGGATATCTTTATCTTCAAAAATAATTTATTCTTGACATTCCTTTGCAGTGTGGGCCGACTTTTGCGCAACATCACAGACTCTGCGCCACGTGCCAATACCGAAAGTTATGCGGTTAAGGAGGCCCTGGCTGCTGGGGATATGGCCCCGGAGAAGTCATTAAATCAGTTGCTCGAGTCGAATCTCCGCCAGCTGCTCGACAGAACGGGCATAATCATTGATGGCTATCCGAGAAATCTACAGCAAGTCAAATACTTTGAGAACAAGGTGAGAGATCTTCAGGGCGAATATCCCATGAAAGTGATGTCATTTAAAAACGAAAATTTTATAATCTTCCAGTACCAGCAACGTCCGCCGATTATCCTACTGGACTGTTCGAAACTTCAGCTAGGACGCGGGCGTATAGACGATACAGTGTCCTCGTTTCGACGTCGTCTGGAACTGTTTCGTGAACAGACTCTGCCCATGCTCAAAACCATGGATAATAGCAATCGCTTGCAGATTGTGAGTTCTCATTTTTTCGCCTAAACTTCAGACCATAATCGAATCTAATCCTTTAGGTTGATGGCGACACGGACAGTCCGTCGGTGCAGCGTGAATTCGAGCGCCTCATACGGAATCATATCCAGCAGTTGCTGAACCGAAGCGACGACACAGATGCCACAGCACCGCTGGGCAATCAGATGATGCGCAACGAGCAGACAGATGCCATACTGCACGATCTGGAGACGAATGTCCCTGGGGCTGTGCCCACGATCAGTCATCATGTGAGCATGATGAATGGACATCTCAAGAATCGGGGCAGTGCCCTCGTCAGTGGCAAGAATCCCTCCCAAATGATGAATGGTCATGTGCCTGGTAGACCAGGCACTGGACCGGTGGCCCAACCCGTGCCCGTGGACTTTAGACACATGCTTGAGGAGGCCGAACGATATCCTGTGGACTCGCACATGTAGAACGTGAATTTATCGCAAGGTTTTATAGTTTTCTAATCGATTTAGGCTTAGGGCATAGTATTGTTAAAACTGGTTTGTTGAGTTTTATGATGGTTCGAGGGACCATTAGGTTGCAGAACCAGAATCAGAGTTAGAGAATTTAATTCAACATTTGATTTCACTAGATATACATATATATAGTAGGTACACATAAATATATATAGACGCATATCGTTTAAACATAAGAGTCCAATGCAATTGAAACGTAGCCGCTAACATAAATTAAATTTAAATAAAATACACGTACAGAGTTCAAGGATACTCTAGGATCTAATTAGTAGTTATCCTGTTGTGGCACACACAAAACTTCTGCGCCTTTTTGTGCTGAATGCAACTGCCATCCCGATCAAAAGAATTTTGTCTACTGATATCCGTATTGATGTCCGTATCCATCAGATGCGTCAGCTCGTTATAGCTCACGGTGGCCTCAAATACCACCGTATTGGGCAGGGCTTCCAGTTTAATTCGATAGTGGCACACATTGGGATCGTCATGCGGGGATCTCTCTTTCCTCTGGGCCCGTCTAATGCCAGACAAACGGAGCTTACTACACCGATTCGTTAGACTGAGATCGGTTAAAAATTGATTAATTCGTTGAACCACAAAGTGTGCCATGGTCTGAATATTGTCGCTCAGTGGCAGCGGTCTATACGCATCGCAGGAGCACCAATGTGGCCCGATGCCCGCCTCTGAGCAAGTTCGAATCTCTGGCAGCGGATAGAACAGACTCTGACAGCGAGGACATGACGGGGGACTCGCAAGTACAGTCTCGTGCGCGCCCTGTAGCGAGGATATATGTTTCAAAGTCAGTTGGAGATCGTAGGGAGAGCACAAGCGATGGCTATTCAACTGCAAGGCATTGACAAACCCTGGATGGCGTTGCCGGAACCATTTTGGCAGTGATATGAACAGCATGGGCTGACGTTCCTCCAAATGACCATCGCGAAGGTGAATCAGATTTCCAAACTGCTTCCCATGATCACTGAGGACAACTACAATGGCCTCTTCGTAGAGTCCCAATGCCTCGAACCTGTTCAGATAGTCATACACCTCCTCATCATTTTCCAACGGTTCGGCATAGCTTTCGGACCAAAACAAATTCGTCCAGAAGAATCCAAAGAACGGCTTAGTGTCCTTCACATATCGTTCGATCAGCTGAGTGCAGTAATCCAGGGTATGTTCCATGCTGCTTCGTTTACGTTGACAGCGGCTGAGTTTGGGCATAGGCAAAGGCCGAAGATAATGGTCGACGGGTGGACTCTGGAACCTGCCGATCTCCGGACTGTCTTCAGACATTGCAGTCACGTAGCCGGCACTCTTAAAGTCCTTCCACACGAACGACAAACTATCTGCGTTCGTAAGATTGTTGTCCCCCACTGTGTTGAAGCCTCGCATTTCGTGCCAATGCCTGCCACCGAGAAAGTCGCTAACTTTGGGCAGGACACGTCGCAGATTGCCTCGCGACATGGAATCAATGCCCAAGACAAGAACACTGGGCTGGCGATGGGCCATCAGTGGTATCCCCTTCTTTGGCTGTACAAACGACAAGCCCTCGTACACCCGTCGGGGGTTCATGGCGTAAGTTCGATTGGCCCGTAAACCACACTGCAACACCATGCTCTTTACATCCTTGGGCACCAAAAGCTGGTCCTTGAACAGCAATGCTGTTCGCAGCTTAAGCCATTCAATGACCCTGAAAGAGCACTCGACGATAGGCCTTTCGTCACCCAACAGTAGAGATGCCACTTCTTTCTGAATACTAAGTTGATATTGCTGGTGGTATGAGTTCCATTGGGACCCAATCAGACGAGGACGTTTTGCTCCACAACTTTCAGAGGTACGGTGCCGGTGTCTAGAGCGAAGTCGACAAATCTCCAATGAGAATACCTTTAGCTGTGGCATCTTACAGTTTTTAGTGTAAACGTCAAACTTTTCCGCTGCATTTTCGATATTCTGATCGAGCAGTTTCTGTATGCTAAGCTTCCCCCCAATCTGCAGAGTGTCGTGGCACTTGTACACAAGCCCAGATGACGTTACAACGAGTACGAGTACAAGAAGCGACAACCGAACTACAATAATATCCATTTAAACTAAACACCAAGTCTAAAAACCATATTAGCTCAACTGATGAAATTGTCACATTTATTTGGCCGGAACATTGATTAGATTCGTAATTTACCAGATTCTTTTGTAATTTGTTGGTCAAAATTTATTATCATCCTCTGCCATTCGGGTTTGCTGACTCCATCTTTAAAGCAGAAGCAGAACTTTTTGGCAATTTTATCCTTGATGCAGAGCGAATCGTTGTGATATCTGTTCAAGCGACTCACATCTCCTATATCGAAGTCAACCAAAGTATCGAGTTCACTGTGATAGCGTACCGTGGCCTCAAAGCGACCCCCAGATGGATAGGTATGAAAGCGCAAACGATAAATCATAATGGTCCCGTACAAGGTCTCCTTGTCATTATCCACCCCAAGCAGCTTCCTCTCGGCATTGTCCAGTTCCTCAAGGACCAGCCGATCGCAGTGTCTATTGAAATGGTGCAGTATCATCCAACGATTGATATAATACAGCGTCAGTTTGACTATGTTGTATGCGTCTCCGTTGAGCCTAACGGCTATGAATTCGTTGCAGGAACAGAAGTGATCTCCAATGCAGGCATCCTTGCAGCTGCGTTCCCGTGGCAATGTGTGCAAAAGAGATTGACTGGTGGGGCAATTTGTCAGCGGAGGAAGTTGATCAGAGGTCGATGCATTCAGCTGCAGAATGTGCCGCAGCGTATTGTGGAGATCGTAGGGAGACGAGAGGCGGTTGCGGTTAAGAAGAAGGGATTCAGCATACTTAGGATATGTTTTGCGGAACCAGGGGGGCAAATAGATGTGCAGCATGGGCAAACGTTCCTCCAGAAACCCGTCGGACAGTGCGGCGAGATCACCAGATCCGTCGCCGTGATCGCTGAACAGTATCACGATGGATTTCTCAAAGACCTGATGTGTCTCAAGTTTCTTTAGGTAGTCTCTGAATAAGCTATCCAAACTGGAAGCTCCGAAATGATAGTCGTGGGTGAAAGTGCAGCTCCAGAAGAAACCGAAGGCTGGTTGCTCTAACTCCTCGATAAATCGTTGCGCAAACTGCATGCAGAAGTCATACAAATACGAGACGGTTATTCGTCGACCCAAACAATAGTCGTAGCCAAATCTTCTGAAGATGCGCATCGATTGAGTTAGACCCATCAGAAGAGGGCGCAGATAAAAGTCAGTTGGCACTTCAAGAAAGCCCTTATTTTGCCCAATAAAGACGCCGAACTGTAGTATATCTTCGCCATATGCCGTCGAGTAGCCTGCTTTCTTGTAATCCCTCCATATCCATGGACACGAATCCATCCGCCCATGGCGTGACAATTCGCAGACCTTTTCTAATTCTTTCGGTTTGCCACCGGCCATAACAACACAGAGATTTGGGAACGTGTTGTCCGCCACTTTGTTGTAGCCCTCCAGCTCGAACCAACCCAACTTTCCCACATATTCGGCCGTCCGTGGCATGGTGCGCCTAAAGTTCATCCGCGACATGGTGTCCAGGCCCAGCATAATGACGCTGGGCTGTATATCCACTGGATGCGACCCAGTCCGGGATGTCTGGTTGACCACCTGCACGAGGGGAAAGGCATCCTTCTGAATGATTCTGGACTCGTCCCTTTCATCATGGCACTCGGCTATAATTCCACTGATATTCTTATCCAGTGCCATGTTCTGTGTGATGTCGACTGGTGGCAGAAGGCTTTGACAGAAAAGGTTATTTTAAACAGTAATCAATCAGTCAGAAATAAATGTTTCTTACACACTAAAGAACTCGCCGGTGGCATTTTGACCGCGTATCACCTCCTGATAGCTGCAACTTAGTTCAGTTACATCCGAGGCCATTGCGGCAAGCGCCTTGCCATTTACCTGGATCTTGTACTTCTGTAGATTTCGATCGAAGCTCAGCGTAATCAGATCCGACTCGTTGGTGCAGGTCCTCAGTTTAGCTGGAGTGAATACAGCGAGAGCTTCACTGGAGAAGGGATCCGCATAGGGAATCTTGCACTTTTGGCTATACACAAAGTACCGGTTCGCGGGTTTGGCTGTCTTCCTTGGCTTTCCATACTGCATATCATCAGCACCACGTGTGGTTTCAAAGTTTCTTGTCGTGGGTTTAGTGGTGGACGTTCGCGCCCTCTGCTCCTTCAATTTGTAGTACTCTCGATTCTTCAAGTGCTGCAGCTTGGCCAGCTCGTACAGTCTCTCCGAGCGGGATATGGTAGGCGTATTGTTACCAGTTGATGATGCCTGATCCTTGCCATGAGGAAGCGGTCCAGCGCCATCATTATAATCCTTGTCGCGATTGACATGATTGGCCCATATGAAAACCAATAGGATAGCAAAGAATATGATACTGTATTTTTTTATTTTCAAAATTAATTTACGTCTCATGTTAGCTCCTTCGTGTAAAATTGAAATTAAGTGGGTATTGCCAGTGATTGGTATGCAAAGGGCTGCTGTGATTTCGTAGCCTAAAATACTAAAAATTGGTTCCGCTTTGAAATGATCATTTGAAATACAAGATTTATGCAGCATTCATACACTCAGTTCCAGGACCGTTCATGCATGGAACAATATTAAACCAACATGCTGCTTTCAAATGTCTATGAGTTCCACTGCACAAAAGATTAACGTTTCATTCACCATATACTATGATTAAAGACCGAAAAATTAAAAATTAATTGGCTTCTGAACTCTGATAACAAACTTTCTCTCAAAATTGCTTAATTATGGCATTATGGACTATAAAAGTATGGTATCGCAGCAAAAGCACACATGAAGAAGATACGTTTATTTCAAGCAGTTGCGCCGAAAATGTCAATAAAGAAAAGACCTTGATGGTGGCCCTCCGTCAAGGAAGCGTGAGTTTCACTGTTCTATTCGACAGTTCTTTATTCGAACGTTCCGAATGTTTCGAACCATAACATATTCGCTATCGAAATTTCCCATAAGCGAACTGACACATTTTTACGATTAACTTTGTTTTAGCCTTAAGTAATCAGATTACGATTTTATTCAAAAAATAAGTATTATTAATTATTTTTAAGACTTGCGCGGCTTCTTGGTCTCGCCACAGCCCAAGAGGACATCAGTGCCTGTGGCCTGAGCCTTGCCAGTGCTGGTGTTGTAGTACACCCGTCGCTCGATGCCTTCCTTGGTGATGATCGCGATGCGCGATACTCCCCCGGAGAAGGAATCGTGATGGATGGCCTGTTTGAGGGCCGACCTGAAAAGCAGCACCAACTCCTCTTTCTCCATGTTCGGACGGTAGCCGTCCCGGAGCATGCCACTAATGTATATGGATCCAGATCCGCCATAGCTCAACTGTTCGCGCATCATCATGCCGCCCAGCGCAATGTTGTACACCTGGGCCCCGTGCAGATCGTCCCAGCCACCCACAATGATGCCGGCATACAGGTATTTGCGACCGTTGTAGCACTTGTCCCGGAACTCCGCGGCCACGTCGCGCACTAGGGTCTTCTCCCCCGTGTGCATCTCGCGATGCCACATCAAATTCGAGACCACCTCAGAGAGCTCCTGGGTGTCCGCCGCAGAGCCACTGCGGCAGCAGTAGACGTTATCCGTGATCCGAGTCACTTTGTCCGTGATTCGATTGGCCACATGGCCCCCAGCGGTGGTGCGGGAATCAGCACCCAGCACCACGCCACCGTCAAACTCGGCAGCCATGATGGTGGTGCCACACTCGACTGGAGTGAAGGAATTTATTAAGTCCAAGTCGAGCCAAGATGAATTACTCATTTTGGTTTCTTTTCAAATGTACAATATATTGTTATATTGGCAGTCCCTCGTTTTGAGCTGCTTATAAATCAGTTGTGTTCGTTCAATCAACTCGTGTTCGTTGAATATGACTTTAACTATTGTTTAGTTAAAAGTTCCAGTCAGTGACTACTGCGGAAGAGAGATGCCAGGCCAAGCCTACTACTGTGTTCTCGAGTAAAAACTTTTAACGTTTCGAGCTTCTTTAAAATTTTGAAAACAAAACAAAAACTATCTATACAGCAGATATGTGATTAAGGTAATTGGTCATAAATCGTTAATTAATCATTATCATTAATTTATTCGATGTGATGTCATTGGTCTTTTCTTCTACTGATTTGTCCAATCTGGATCAAAGGTTCCTCTGCAGAAGCAGAACTTTTTGGCAATTTTATCCTCGATGCAGAGCGAATCGTTGTGATATCTGTTCAAGCGACTGACATCGTCTATATTGAAGTCAGACAATCGCTTCCGATTGTTGTCGTAGCGCACAGTGGCCTCAAAGCGACCAGAAGGCGGGTTGGTGTGAAAGCGCAGACGATATATGCTAATAGTACCGTATAAGGACTCCTGACCATTATCCTCGTTTAGCACCTTCCGCTCCGCATAGTCCAGATCCTCAAGACACAGGCGATCGCATTTTTGGTTATATTGATTCAAAACCAACCAACGATTGATGTAGAACAGCGTCAGTTTGACTATGTTGTATGCGTCTCCGTTAAGCTTAATGGCCATGAATTCGTTGCAGGTACACCAGTGATCTCCGATGCAGGCATCCTTGCAGCTGCGTTCCCGTGGCAATGTGTGCAGAAGAGATTGACTGGTGGGGCAATTTGTCAGCGGAGGAAGTTGATCAGAGGTCGATGCATTCAGCTGCAGAATGTGCCGCAGCGTATTGTGGAGATCGTAGGGAGACGAGAGGCGGTTGCGGTTCAAATACAGCGACTGGGCAAACCTATTATATGTTTTGCGGAACCAGGGGGGCAAATAGATGTGCAGCATGGGCAAACGTTCCTCCAGAAACCCATCTGACAATTCGACGAGTTCACCAAACCGCTCGCCGTGATCGCTGAGCAATATCACGATGGATTTCTCAAAGACCTGACGCGTTTCGAGTAGCTCTAGGTAGTCCATGAATATGCCATCCAAACTGGAAGCTCCGTGATGATAGTCGTGGGTAAAAGTACAGCTCCAGAAGAAACCGAAGGCTGGTTGCTCTAACTCCTCGATAAATCGTTGCGCGAACTGCATGCAGAAGTCGTACAAATACGAGACGGTTATTCGTCGACCCAAACAATAGTCGTAGCCAAATCTCCTATAGGTGCGCATCGAGTGAGTTAAGCCCATCAGAAGAGGGCGCAGATAAAAGTCAGTTGGCTCATGGCGAAAGCCAGAATCGTGCACCGAGAAGACGGAATCCTCAACTATATCTTCGCCATATGCCGTCGAGTAGCCTGCTTTCTTGTAATCCCTCCATATCCATGGACACGAATCCTGGTCTTCAGCGTAAGAAAATGAACAGATTTTCTTCAGTTCCTCTGGCGTGCCACCAGCCAAAACAGTGCAGAGATTTGGATACGTGTTGTCCGCTACTTTGTTGTAGCCCTCCAGCTCGAACCAGCCCAACTTTCGCACAAATTCGGCCGTCCGTGGCATGGTGCGCCTAAAGTTCATCCGCGACATGGTGTCCAGGCCCAGCATAATGACGCTGGGCTGTATATCCACTGGATGCGACCCAGTCCGGGATGTCTGGTTGACCACCTGCACGAGGGGAAAGGCATCCTTCTGAATGATTCTCGACGGGTTCTTTTCATCATGGCACTCGGTTATAATTCCATTCATATTCTTGTCGAGAGGCATATCCGGTGTGATGTCGACAGGTTGCTGAAGACTGCGTAAAGAGGTTCATTAAATAAAAATTCTATCAATCATTCCATGAATTTTACGGACTTACATACTATAGAACTTTCCGGTAACATTTCGACCGTGGGTCACCTCTTGATAGCTGCATTTTAGGTCACTGACGTCCGGCGCGAGGCCGATAAGTACCTGGGAATTCACATGTATCTTGTACTTTTGTAGATTTCGATCGAAGCTCAGCGTAATCAGATCCGACTCATTCGTGCAGGTCTTCAGTTTAGCTGGAGTGAAGACAGAGAGGGCTTCGCTGGAGAAGGGATCTGCATAGGGCATCTTGCACTTTTGGCTATATACAAAGTAACGGCTTGCCGGCTTGGCTGTCATCTTTGGATTTCGGTTTTCCAGGAAGTCGACATCAATAGCGGTGGTGGTATCGTATCCTCGAGACGTGTCGACGAACGTTCGGTCCTTCTCCGCCTTCAACATGTGGTACTGCCGATCCTTCAAGTGCTCCTGTTTGGCCAGCTGATACAATCGCTCCGACCGAGATAGGGAGGGCCTCTCTATGGCGTCAGGAACCGGTCCACCGGCATCATCATCGCGATTAGAATGATTGACCCATATAAAAATCAATAGTAGGCTAAAGAATATAATTGTGCACCTCTTTGGTTTGAAAAAGGATCTACGTCTGTGCCACATTTTTTCCCGTTCCATGTGAAATTAAAGTGAGTTTTCTACAGCTGATGGTTGAGTGCAGGGCTGCTATGATTTTGGAAATATTTGGAGGCTAGTTTTCGTCAATTGTACAAAAAAAAAAAAAATGTCATCATGACCAGTTGTTGTTGCCTTTAAACAACCATACCGTCGATTACTGTTTTATTTCGGAATCAAATTCATATATGTATGTATTTATGATTCTCAATTATTTCTCTCACAGCATCACATGCCAACTTCGTCTTGATAAAGCTAAAAGTGCCCTGGCCAAAAACTTAAGCTGTAGAGGTTGACAAATTTCGGAACAGACTATATTTTCAGTTTATAAGTCTTAGTTAACAGAAACTTAAAAAAACATTTCAACAGCGAAGGAAATCAGAACGTTTTAGATACATACATATGTATCACAAAATGTATGGTATATATTGCTATAGTAGTATTTACTGACATTCGCAGAATCCACATTGGTAGCAAAAAGCGATTCGATTCAAAATACTACGCCACAAATTATTTAAAAGCAATCAAATAGATTAAATCCATTATTTACAGCATGCCAATGTATTACGAAGAAAAATTCGGGACCACTTCGAAAAATCCTGGGTAAGGCTTGGAAACTACTCCAGTTTATTGAGATATTTATACATTAAGTTTAAGATTAACGTTCGAAGGAACATCATTCGATTCATCATATTCGTCGTCTTGCTCCTTCAGCCAGCCATATCTGACTCTCCTTATTTTTGTATGTTCGTCATCGGAATATGTCTTTTTGAGGCAAACACATAGTTTCTTGGCCAGTATATCCTCTGCACAATAAGATTCGTTGCGGTAGGAGTTCAATCGACTTATCTCATCCAAGTCAAGAGATACGTGCTCCGCGTTGAATTTACTACGGACAAGAGATCGAAATTTCCCATTATTCGGTGAGGTCGTGAATTCCAATTTATATATCTCCATGCCATTGGGCGGGGCAATTTCGACACCAACGTCATCAAAGTGCAGCTGGCGGCTTGCTTTTAGCAATTTGCGAAGGTACAATGTCTCACAGTCCGCATCCAGATTCAGTTTCGCCAAGAACTGGTTCATTCGATAGACAATCACTTGGGCCAATTTCAAAGCCAAGCCAGTGGTGGCCACGGGGACATAGGTTTCGCAGGCGCACCAATGAATGGGAATATTGGCATCGGAGCAACCTCTGTTTTTGGGCACCACTCGAAGGAGGGATCGGCAATTAATACAAGAATAGGAACTTATAAAGTCAATTCCAGGACGAATCTGCTCCAAAATGTGTCTGATGCCCAGATGCAGATCATAGCTGGAGGTAAGACGATTCCTGTTCAGACGAAGGGCACGCGCTACCTGCGGATAGCGGCGACGGTACCAGGGCGGCAGATAGATGTGCAGCATAGGCAGACGCTCCTCGAGGAAGCCAGAAGGATGATTCGCCAAATACCCATACCTTGCGCCGTGGTCGCTGAACAAAATGACAATGGCCCTGTCGAATAATCCATACTCCTTGAACTCCTCCAAGTACTTGACATAGATCGCGTCCAGATTTGCGCCCCCGCTGTGATCGTCGTGGGTGAAACTACTCGTCCAGAAAAAACCGAACAGTGGCTTCGGTGTCTCATGGACAAAGCGCTGGATTAGCTGCTTGGCATAGTCAAACACATAGCTGAAGCTGTGCCTCCGGCCCAGGCAGTATTTACAGCCAATCCACTCCACCGATTTGAGGACATGCTCGAGTATCGTCACGAAGGGACGCAGATAGAAGTCGACCGGCTTCCGTACAAAGCCCGACTTCAAATAGTTGAATGTGGATATGGAGGACAGATCCTCCGCATACGCAGTGAGGTAGCCGGCATTGTGAAAGTGGTCCCACAAATACGTAATGTAGTTAAAGCAACCCGCAGTCTTCAGGTTACAACCCTTTGACCAGTTCTTGGCGCTGCGACCCGTCAGCACGGCCAGCAGATTGGGCAAAGTGTTGTCTGCCACTTTGTTATAGCCCTCCATCTCATACCAGCCACTATGACGGACGAATTTCGAGGTGAGCGGCATCGTTCGGTGGAAGTTCATTCGGGACATGGTGTCGATGCCAAAGAGAAAGACACTGGGATAGTTTGTGCCGCGCCAGGCATCGCTCGTCTCGTTACGATCCACCGGATGCTGGACAAAGGAAAAAGCATCGGCCTGCAGCACACGAGAGTTGTTGTCGAGATCATTGCACTGCACAACCAATCCCAGAAAATGGTGCGGAACAATAAAGTCGTTTTCGAAGAGTTCAGCACGACGGGCACTATAAAAGAGATCATTCAGGGTAAAACACTTCCACTTACTACTGGTGTACAAAGTACTCACACGGCATATGAATCGTTGGTGCCAGCCATAGTCTCAAAATAAAAACAAGCATAATTCGAAATGTTGGAAAAACGTGTATTCATCACTTCTTTATTCAAGTGCAATATGTAGTGCTTCGTTTTGCGGTGATAGAGAACGCTAAAAAGGTCCGGATCCTCTGTGCAGGTTTTATAAGGATAAGGGACCGACAAGTTCAAGAAATCTTCCGATAGTGGATCGACATAGGGTATCTTACACTTGGGACTAAACACAAAGAAATTTTCCGCAACACTTATTGGTGTTTTCTCTATCGTTTGGATGTTGATTTTTTGTGGATCCAAAACGGTTGCTGGTTGCACATTTTTTATCACTGATTTGTTGTGTAAAGTAATTGGCTCCAGATTTGGTTTCCTTGATAGTTTGCTTTGTGGCGAGTCTGGTTTGAGCTCTCCATTATGATTTACAAATATAAAGACCACCATCAAGATGATGACACAAAGCACGACTTTGCGTTTCAAATTGAATCCAAACATAATTTGGTTTGTACTTGTATTAATTTGTGTATTTATCTGTACAATTGCAGGATCAATCGAAGCACACTTTTTTCTGAGCAATGTTACTACAATCAAATCCGAGAGTTTGAAGAAACCTGTCAGATAGAAAACTCTTTCCAAACGGCGTCATACGGCTGCACCCATCGGTCGTTTCGCGCTTCAAGCCTGGAAGGCGCGCGTAATAATGTTCTCCAACGTTTTGACAACATTTATATCTTCTTTTATATTCTATCTAAGTTGATAATAACATTTAATATTAGTCGAGATTATTAAGTCTATGGTTTGAGGTCGCTAAAGCATATACAATATAATTTAGCTATTTTATCTTCAATGCAGGTCGAATCTTCCTTATAGGAATTCGTACGACTGATTGTCTCCACATTCACCTCGGCCGTTTCGGTGACATTGTTGAAGACGACCGTTGCCTCGAAGTCTGCGCTGTTCTGTTGCACCTTGAACTTTGTGCGGTAGACGGCCTCCTTCAGTTCGGGCAGCTCATCGTGCCAGCTGATGTCCAGCCCCGTTTTTATGTTCGTGTTGTGGACATAGCTAAGTGACAGATTGCTGCACAGGTGGGTGAGATTCTTTTCCACGAAATACTCATTCATGCGGGGGATCACACTCTCGGCTATGCGATCAGCCCAACCCAGATGGGAGATGGTTCGATAGGGCTCACACGTACACCAATGCTCATCGATGGCCGCCTGGGCACAAGTCCGGTCCTCGGGCAGTGGGTAAAACAGCGACTGGCAGGTGGGGCAGTCATAGGATTTGGGCAATTCAGGCATACCCGGTATGCCACCACCAATCTCAATGACATGCTTTAGCGTATTGTGTAGGTCAAAGTTCGAACTCAATCGATTCTGATTGATCTCCAGGGCACGAGCGTAGCTCGGGTACTCTTCACGAAACCAAGGAGGCAGGTAAATGAACATCATTGGCAAACGCGACTCCAGGAAACCCGAGTTTAGGTCTCTCAACTTGCCGAACCTTGTTCCATGATCGGCAAAGAATATCATTATAGTATGATCGAAGGCCCCGTCCATTCTATAGTTGGTCAGATCGGTAAGTACCTTGTTCTGCATGGCTGAGGGCATAAAGGGATCGTCATGACTGTAGTGATTGGTCCAGAACATGCCCCAAATGGGTCGCTCCTTGACATATCGCTGCATGAACTGCCGGCAATAATCGTAGATATAACGATTTGCCAAGCGGCGCCCCATGCAGTACCTCATGAACTGACCGGGCAGGCGTTTAACCTCTGTCTCTTCCTCCAGTGCCCGCAGAAAGGGTCGAAAGTAGTAATCAGTAGGTTTTTCGGTGAATCCGGGCTTCAAATAGTTGAACGTATTCGATCCACTCTCATCCTCAGCGTAGGCCGTCAAGTAGCTGGCGTTCTTGAAGTAGTGCCATATCATTGACATCTCCTCGAAGCAGCCGGATTGGTCCGTGTCGCAGATCTGGGACTTTGCCGTATCCGGTGAATAGCCACTGAGAATTGCAAACAGATTGGGAAACGAATTGTCGGCCACCTGAAAGAGAGAGCTCGGGTGTCAGCACAGACTGCGAATAAAGGGTGATAGGCCATTCTAACCTTATTGTATCCCTGCATCTCATACCATCCTGTGCCCTTCAGGAACTTGTATACCTTTGGCATCGTGCGTCGTAGATTTATGCGTGACAACGAATCAATGCCGTACATTATAACGCTAGGCTTTCGGGGCACTGACGCCCTCTTCTTGGGTGTGGGCTCCTCTGGCTGATACTGTATGAATATGAGAGCATCCCGCTGCAGCACTTTGTGGGGCTCTTCCGCCGTCTGGCACTCCAGCAGCATCCCCTCCACATGTTTGGGCACCACATAGCCGTCAGTGAAGTATTTATCTGCCTTGAGTCTGCACGGATGGAAAAGAGACTGTAATTTGCATCATACAAATCGGATCCCATCTTGTATTACTTGTCGTAGGTGTCTACGTGCTGGCCGTAGCTGATTTCCTCATAGAAACAGTTGTACTCCGCATCCGTAAAGTTGAGCAGCTCCTGAGCGACCTGTTGATTGATATGCAACACATATCGCTGCCGCTGGGAGTCGTATGCGGATGTGACAAGGTCACTTTCATTCGAGCAGACCACAAAGGTCTGAGGCTTGTATATTTTCATGACTTCGTCGTTGAACGGGTTTACAAAGGGTATATGACACTGGGCCGTTTTCACAAAGTATTTTTGTGGTGTGAGAGTAGCATTAACGATTCGCGATAGAAGGGAAACTGTATTCGCATTTTGTGCATTCGGTAATTCATTTGGAAAACGATTGGAAAACACGAAGATCAGCAAAAGTAGGCAGAACCCGAAGAACCATTTGTATAGGGGGTGTGCGGCACGAAAGCGCGAATCCATGTTGTGCCATCGACCACAAAGAAAACTCAACTGAAGACTTCCCATTGTCCCCAAAAAAAACGAAGACACTCTGTAACATATACCCGAATACCCGAATACGCTCTGTTATCACATATTGGGAAGCAATGCCATGACCTGCGCTGAATGCGTAGGTATTCAGTAATTTCCTAACCTGTTGAGTGCACGTTCAAGTGGCGTTCGACCATTTTATCTGCCACTTTCCATAATTGTAACATTCGAAGCTATTACTGGTAAAAGAAGAGAACTTAAGAGGCATGTAGCTAGCTTTCGGTAGCTCTGGGCAAAAGTTACTTTGCAGATTGTTTTTTGGGCAGTACTCAGAGAAATAAAACTTGACCAAAGAATTTTACAACATTTTCAGTGGACTTAAAGATTCCAAGAATGTGTGGCACTGATCCACATAGGGATATTTTAATGATTATGAGCAATAAACAGCAAAGACACCTTTTCATGGCGTTCAACGTAAACCGCACCATTTCCAATACTACACTTGACTGATATTACAGTCTGTTGAGGCGTTTTTCCTATGTTTTCCTTAGTACTTTAAGCGAAGAAAATCAATTGTACGCTCAGAAGCGCCCATTATGACTTGGAGATATCTCGACTGATTACAAGGAAAACGGATGGAAAGAGAATATTATGAGTAATAATTTTGACGCTTGGCATCAGATGAAACAAAGTTACAGGTGCGGGAATTCACTTCGTATTCAAGAAACTTTTCCGTAACAAGAAGGAAACAAAGGGGAATGAGGGGCTCCCTCACAGTTTAATAACGCCGGTCTATGTGGTTGCTATCCACATAAAAGATAAGAGGTTCTGTTCTTAGAAAAAAAGTTTAATTTTCAAGATATGAAGTCCAACTAATTTGTATTCAATGTCATTCATTATCTTCTTACAAAACAATGAATAGTATCGTTACAGAATACTTGAATACATTTGTATTCATTTATTTGTTTTTATTGTCATTCGATTTTCAACATAAATTTTCGGTTTTTTAAAAACCAAAAAAAAAAAAATAATTTACCATAAAATCGCTTTCGACACAAACAATCGTAGATGTTTTGAATGTAATGGATCATTACAACAGTAAAAATGACACGTTGGACACTTCTAAAACTAATTTTGGCTCTACCATTAATCTTCGCGGTGGATAAAATAAAAGCACCGCGAAAGGAGTCCCCTCCACAGAAAGAAAATGGAAACAACTACTACATCGAAACATCAGAGTGTCGTATTCTGAATACCCAACAAATGTCAAAAAATGCCACGAATAGTATAAAGGATGACGATTATGAGAAATGCTCCCAAGATGATGATTTGATCACCACAGACTTCCATGACGAACACCAGCGATATGTGATGCTTATAAACGATCTTGTTTCGCAACTGATCGTTGAGTACAATTGCAGTTATCGTGAGATTGGAAGGCGAAAAAATATCGGACTGAAAAAAGTGCCCTTTCAGAATGGTTATGTGGTGCCCCATAATGTGGAGAGCATGACAGTTACCTGCAGCAATAGCCTGGGGGAAGTGCTCCAAACAAGGACCTTGGCCTTGGTGCAGCCCCGCCGTGGGCGCCAACCGCCAATATCTAAGTGCCGAAAGCCCAATGTAATCATGATGGGTATTGGTAGCATTTCCCGAACGATTTTTCGCCAAAACTTTCCAGAATTTAGCAAGCGTCTTCAAATGGAGGGCTGGTACGAGATGCAAGGATACGGCAGAGTGGACAAGGGCCTCATGCCCAATTTAATGGCCATTCTCTCCGGCTACATTCCTCAAACTTGGCAGAACATAGGTTGCCATTCGAAGAAACAAGGCTGCTTGGAGACGCTGCCCTTGATCTGGAATCACTTCAAGCAGAGGGGTTATCTGACGGCCTACGCCGAGGACGTGAGCTATCAAAATGTCTTTAACTTTGAAAAGTCCAGCCTCGACTACTATGCCAAGGGAATCGACACTAAAGTTCCCACTGACTGTATTGGCAGAATGATGAACATTCGATATGTCTATGAATTCTGCCAGCAATTTCTGGAACGACATATGACCACGGAATCTCAGCAGCCTCTTTTTGGACTCTTTCGGACCAACAGCTCGAGCTACGACTTGTTTGCGGATGGTACAATTTTGGAACCATTTATTATGGAATATTTTCTGAGCTTCATTGAGCTGGGACTCTTTAAGGAATCGATTGTGATCATCTTCAGCGATGAGGGCCAAGGCTCAAGCCATGAGGAGACCCTGCCTATGCTGTTTATCTGGCTGCCTCCTTGGTTCCGTGCCGAGCATCCGGAAGCGGTGCAGGCCTTGCAAATCAATAGCCAACGACTTACCTCTCCATACGACTTGCATCTGACTCTCCAGTACATTCTGGAGCTGGGCGAAAAATGGCCACACGCTGTGGAGGAGCTGGAGGACTGTCCGAAATGCCAGACACTTCTGGCGCCGATAAATGAGAGCCGCGCCTGCCCGGATGCGGGAATAAGTGATGAAACATGCCCCTGCGGCATCTACAAGTCACTTGCCACCAGGCACACAGAGCATCTGCCGTTGGGTACGCTTCTTGTGCGCAGTATAAACGACTACTTGCACCACAGAAACCTTCAAGAGTTCTGCTGCAATTTCACCCTCAAGTCCGTTTCAGCCGTATCGATGCGTGTTGAGGAGCGTCAGTCATCATCGTACATCAACACCTATCGAGTGACATTCAGCGTCAACCGACAGCTCTACGACAGGACCAATTCTAATCATCCAGAGTTTTCCGGAAGTATACGCTATAACCACAAGCTGAAAACTATGGACTATCTGAACGTGGGATCCATTCGAAGATTGGATCCCTATCGAAACGATTCCAATTGCATGAAAAAACTGTCAGGAAAGAAGTTTTGTGTGTGCAAGAGCCGAATGGAGAAACTCATTGAAAAATTAAATACCCAGAAGGAAAAGCATAGCGTAATGAAAAAGGCAAAAAAGGAAATTCTTATACCTAAAAAAGAAATGAGATTGCCAAACCCGAAATACCAAAAAAGAAAAAAAGCAAGCAACGTCGACACCAGGCGGAAAAAAACGTTGGAAAAGACAACAAATAATCGAAAGGAAGCCTCGATAAAGAAAAATTGATAATCGGTAAATTTGATAAATCAGTGTCAACTCAGGAGATACCCGTTGTAAAACACCGACAATATTCAATTTAAAAAGTTTTAGACCTTGTTAAAGCTTTCGTACTTTCCAGAAACTCATGTCTAATGGATTTTGCACCAAAACATTACAATTATCAGGATAAAAATGTATAATGTTTCCGGCAGTCGTCAGTTGATGAGTTCATCTATGATGAATGTGTGGAGTTTTCGGTGCTTTGTGATACTCTGTTTACTCTTGATCACCATTTGCCTTATTGATGGAGCGAAAAAAAAGAATATTAAGTATACGACACCAAATAAATATAAAAGAGTTTTCACAATTGCTGTACCCCGGAAGTCCCGGGCAAGTAGGAAACCCATGAAAGCAAAGATTCAAAGGCGAAGTGTTACAACCAGAAAAAATACCACCGACACACCATATGTTGAATCAATCAAGGATCAACTGCTTAGGAAGAAGCCCATTCAGGATGTTCATGATATTGTGAGGTCCAGCTACGATCATCTGCGCCACCTGCATATCCTTTATGTCAGCCAATCTGCGGTCAATCTCACATTGCGTACGTTAGAGAGAAAGCCTAAGGATATGACGTATACATGTGGGTATCGCAGGATCACCACAAATCCAATGGGACTCTACATCAATGGTAGCATCAAGTAAGGAATCCCATGAATAATAGCCAAACAACTGCAGCTCATTCGACAAACATTCTTTTGTCAGTCGCGCGGTGGAGACTCCTTTCCATGATACTTATATTGTCCCTGAAGATGTGATGGGCTTGATTGCCATCTGCAAAGACAGTCGGGGGGATGTGCTACAGGTTCAGCCCTTCACCTTTGTCCAGTCAATACATCAGTCATCCAATCAGCAGCCAAAGAGTCATCGTCGTCCCAGTGTCATAATGTTCGGCTTCAATGGTATGACGCCGAACGACTTTCGATCCACACTAGACGATATGCCAGGACTGAAAAGCAACAGAGAGGGCTGGTTCGAGATGCAGAACTACAAGAGAATGGGCGAGAATAGCTATATTAATCTGATGGCCCTAATATCGGGTTACAGTCCCAGTGCGGTGCACAATCTTCAATCGGCCAGCGACATGGACGCGATGCCATTCATTTGGAAGCAATACAAGGAAAAGGGCTACCTAACGGCCTATGCAGAGGATCTCACGCTCATCCGAAAGTTCGCCTTTGAGTTCGGGGAGCAGCCCGTCGACTACTATCTGCGACCATTCATGCGGGGCATAGCCGACAGTTTGCATCTACGCAATCGATCCACAGAGTATCATGGGCTGGGCAGGCGGCTGTATGTGGACTATGTCTATGACTACTGTCAGCAATTGCTGGAGCGTTACCTCAACCACACACAACCCTTTTTCGGTCTCTTCTGGACGAGCAATTTCGTCACGGAACAGAATCGGCCAAAAAGGGAGCCCACGTTGATGGACTATATAAAACGCTTCGAACAGTTGGGGCTCTTCAGTGAAGCGATTGTAATATTCTTCAGTGATCATGTCTGTCATCCCATGCTGTTCGTGTGGCTACCATCGTGGGTTCGTCTGCAATACCCAGACATATCCGTGGCTCTGGCGATCAATACACAGCGGATGACCTCACCCCATGATTTGTACCTCACGTTGCAGGACATTCTGAACTTAGGAACGAAGGTGGCAGCACATCTGTTGCAACCAGAGGGTTGCCCCACCTGCTTAACGCTCTTTAAAGAAATTCCCACGAATCGCACCTGCCATGAGGCGGGTCGCAGCGAGAACTACTGCGACTGTGCCTCTTCCATGGAACTGCTGCAGGAGGAGACCGAGATGTTGCCCCTCGGCTGGCTCCTGGTCGACAGCCTCAACAACTACCTGCGCTCTCGCAACCTAATTAATCGCTGTGAAGCGTTTTCTTTGCAGAAAGTTGAGTCCATTCATCAGCATAGTTCTTCCCTCAAGTCGAGTACTATCAAGTATCGAGTGCGCTTCACTACGCAGCCTAAAGCCGCGAGATTTCTGGCCACCGTTCTGTATAATCACGACACCAACCAATTGGTGAACGTCAGTGTTCCCACCTTTGGGCGACTGCTTCGATATACGCATCAATCGAAATGTGTGAAAGATGGGAATGACAAAAAGTTCTGTGTGTGTAAGTCACTCCCCAAAAAGAAGAAAAAGCGCAGGATACTACGAAGAAGGAAGAACAAACCGGACGCGAAAAAACAGAAATTGTTGAAATCTATGGACAGCTTAATGAAGAAGGTGGAGAAAATAGAGAAGCTCAACGCCTTGAGCCGCCAACAAATCAAAGTGGAAATGCGAAAATTAAAAGAAGGAATCTTAACATCCACAACAGCTCCCGAATGGATCACCTATCTGGAACCCAGCACCACGCCAATGTCCGACGTAATCGAAACCCATGTCAACTTTCCGCTTACTCTTAACTTCTGATGCAAAACTTTCCTTCACGTAACTTTTTGCTTGTTTAACCAATAAAATTAATGATCCCAGATAAGATAGAATGTCTAGGCATATAAATTTTACATTTATTTAAAGTCTCCAACAGATAGAATCTTATCGGTTTGTTTGCAAATGAATCTGACAGATTTCGTTCATGATATCTAATGGGTATTCATGGCACACAAAAACCGACTCTAAGAAAATATTCAACACAAAGGAGAAGTATTCTATTATTTTTATTGGTATACAATGCATTTTCTGCTGAATTTCCTCAGTAATTTCCGCTAAAAAGTATCAGAAACAAGCCCCACGGCACGCAGATATCAAGTTTCCAATCAATAGAGTGGGGGTTCCTTAGCACGTGCTGCTATCGCTGTTGTGAAGCATGGACAGATGCCATACCCATACCCCATCCATAAGTATTCCTGCTACAGCTATTGAATGACTGACAGTCCCAATTAAGTCCTTATCAATTTAATGATTGTGTCAGCAACGATGTAGAGTATGTTCGGCTTTATAACACTGTTTACTAGTTTATAATGATAATAGACAGCGCAGCAACCAGCCCGACTATCAGTATTAGCTCTGAAGAGACACACGACAACGGGACGTCTCTGTGTCTGACTGTTTGGATTAAGCGTCATCGCTATCCCATCCCAGTTGTTGGGGGCTTTCAAATGATTCGGATTATATTTTTCACGTCAGTTCATTGCGATAATTCACGAGCTGCGGTCGTTGCCTTTTCTACCAGTCCTTTCATCCTTCAAAAAACGGTTCCCATAAAATGGCTAATAAAAAGATGTTCAATCGGACGACCTCCATCAGCCCGGGACAATTGCATTATTATCACACGGATTTCTACTACTCAATGGCGGATTTGAACAGTAAGTTTAAGGGTTAAGATAACTCCTCATTTGTTATCCCATGACATGACATGACCCATTGGTCTCTGTCGGAATTATTCTGCCAGAATCAGAATGATTCTGTTTTTATTCAAACATTTCTTATTTTATCAGACAGAATTTTCTTGTTGTCTTTATTTTGTTGGTCTTCAAATATTGTATATGTTATCACCTCTGCATACGTTTTATATCATTTTCACCATTCTTGGGATTAACTCTATTTGTATCTCATATATTATGGGATGTTCTGGCTTAAGTTGAGGGAATTGTGGTATTAAAAATATTTGCATATTTCAATCTCAAGATTTGATGATAAATTTATTTCCATAAATTTTTCCAAAATATATGTTTAAGAAAATTATGTGTCAATGTACAATATTTGTTTTATAACAATTTTAATGTTTTAAGACTTTCTATTGAGTTCAAAGCCTTTCATGGGAAAATTTAATAAATCAGTTCTAATAATAACAATTCTAAATTTCAAAAAGTATAGAGCTAACCGCCCTTTTACAACCGATTTTCCACCCCTGGGAGAACATCACATCGCCACCAACTTCCCGTCAAAACAAAAAATTGTTTCCCTCACATTAAAGAGCGCAGATATTTTAGAGAGCCCAGCCAAAGAGCGTAAGTGAGAGCGAAAACACACATCTCTCTCTTTGGCTCTTATTATTAAACGAGGGGGAACGTTGTGAGTTGCTGCTGCGACCGCAACTGTACATTTATAGCCGATACATAAGTATGGCTACATTAAACGACAGTGCGTGCGAGAGAAACAGAAAATCAGTTTAAGCGTGTCGTCGGGCGCTGCGTAGCCACTGCAAATTGATTTGTTCCTTTTGGCTATAAAAATGATCCGATCTGATCCAGATTCAGCAATGTTGTTGCTCTAGCTCTTATAGTCCTTGAGCACTAGGCGCTGATAGGGACGGATAGACGGACGGACAAACAGGGCTCAATCGACTCGGCTATTGATGCTGATCAAGAATATACATATATACTTTATGGGGTCGGAAGATTCCTTCTGGAGGTTATGTTATGGTCCATGTTCACCACAAGCCTAATATACCTCTACACTCATTTAGAGTATCGGGTATAAAAATTTCCATTGCAACAGCTCATGAGTCTCATTCGAGAAATTGCTTTGAAAGTGAAGTGTTTTGTTTTTTATGCTTCCTCTCGTCGGGTGAAAATTTCGTAATAATTATTTTGTTGTAATAATTCACTTGTATAAACGATTAGCAATGTGAAAATTGTGAAACAAGAAAGTTAGAAACAATAGAAAATAGTTTAAAACAATTGCGGTGCCAAAACAGAGCTAAAAACCAAGCGTTAAATATACAAGAAAATGGGAGAGTGCATTTTTCCGAGATAAGCGAGAGAGATTGAGAGAGAGAGAGATTAAAAGACAGACAGAGAGAGAGAGAGAGAGAGAGAGTGCGGGAGACGTTGAAATCGAGAGAGCATCTCAAACATTTGTTGATTAAAATGTGTGTCAATATTGAATAACAAATCGGATATCGGAGAATCGAACTGATAATAATGGCAGAGCCGTTGCACGTGTGATTGTAGAGCCTTCTCCAATGCCGCCCCCTTCACACACCCATGCATTTATCTAATTTTGGATATCTTTATGCGAGGAAAATCCCGAAAAATAGACCAGAATAGAAAGTGCAAACCAAAGGCAATGCCTATCGCAGTGACAACAACGGCCGCATAAACAAAGAAAAGGAAAAAGAACGAGAATTGCATGCGAAATTCTCTGTAAAATTCACACCTGTCACAACGCAAACTTCACAAAGCGCAAATCGGAACGATAGGGAAAAGCAAAAGCATGTAAGTGGAAAATTACAATAAAAAGAAAATGTATCTTCAAAACGCCGAGGCTGCAAATACCCTTAAAAAACAGATGCGATTGAAGAAGGTTTTCCATCTATTGTGTCCTGACCAGAAGAAGTATGTGCTTCTCTGTTCCAATCATCTTCAAAAGACATAAAATAGAATTTATATAGGGTATTTATAAAGAAGAAAATGTTTCCCTTTCTGTCTCGCAAACATCTGCGGAAAATAGTAATACCCTTCATAAAGGGCACACACACTCAGATATGTGTGAACATCTGTCATTTGTATACCGATTCACATGCCAAGAAAAAAAGAGTTGCAAGAATCGAATTTCTTTATACAAAAGTTGAATTGTTTGAACATTTATTGCTGGCTGCCGTATTTCTTAGCCTAAGCATAAAAACCTTCAAATATGTAGGGGGCCTTGTTTTTAAAACTATACGAAAAACCGGATGGGATGGGGGAAAATAAAATGCCATGGCTATGCCGAATAAAAACCTGTCGTGACTGGTTTTCTTTTCCGTGGGTTTCTTTTCTGTTGCTAGGAAAATGCCAAAAACCAAACAGAAAAATGAAAAACAGATGTAAGAAATATATGACACCTGAACTATGACTTTATTTGAGACCGTAAGAGGATAAACCTGAAGTCAAAGGAACATAAAGTAGAGCATATGTTTAGTGGATATAAAAGTGAAAGTTAAAGGTGTTTTTTGTTTTGATTTGAGCAGCAATCAACATCAACGGCCATCAATCACTATCAAGGCGGTCAAAGTATTATTCATTCTCGAAAGTAGGACAAAGAGTCTATACATGGAAGTTCTTATCACGCATAAGTTGCCGCTTACTAAAGTTCCCGTAAAGAGTTCTTATCACTTTTCCTATATTTAATACAACTTCAAAATCTATATTTAAGAATTCCAGACTCTTTGAATATATTAAAGAAATGATTCCATAAATTTGATATTCCAAAATTTAAGATGATTTTTAGTCCGAATTCACATGTATCTTTGATGACCAGGTTTATAACATTAGCCAACACCTGATCTGAGTTCCCGAAAAACACTCGACAAAAACGTGACATGCTGAAAATTACTCGTGTATGCCATAAATAAAATGTGCAATATATGAAGCTGATTCCCGTATGAACAGAAACCCCGTCTCTTTTCGTTGACGCTTGATAAGAGCAGGCCAATATAAACAGCATTTTTCATGAGGGAAAACATGGCTTATCAACCATTGGCATCAATAGGCAGACCGGTAATTAGCAGAGGCCCTCCCTCGATAAGGCCATCAAAAGGGGGCACGGGGGAAAATAGTGCGTAACCAAGTAAGATTAGGAGATTGTGGAGGTAGACGCTGTGATGTAACCAAAATACAACTAGGGGAGAGGTTCCATAAAAATTAGAGATCCAATACAAATATGTATGCCCCAAGAAATCTTAGACATTCGAATTTGTGCAAATCCTCTTATTTCCCCAACCAAAATATTGGTACCCCCAACTTTTACCCATTCCGCTCCTGTGCCTAAATCTTAATCTTTGCTAAAAACTTAACAAAGATAAATAAATATACTAAACAAAGTCAAGTTCAAGAGAGGCAGAAGAGAGCCGATAGCCAGTGGCAGTGATCAGAGCGAGAGTCATAGATCGCTAACCATCGATCAAACAGAGTCTGTCACTTGCCGCTGGCCATCGATCTGAGTGTCTGATCGAATCTTGTGAATAGCTTGGTTATATATTTGAACTATATCAATATTCGTTGTGTTGTGGATTGTTGATACAATCTCTGACACCCAGACACACGGCTCTCTCACAAATACACAGATAAAAGTCATGGAGGGGGCGGGCAATTCTAGTCCCAGTCCGAGTCGTCAGTCTAATTTGATAATCTCACAATCAAGACAGTGTTCCACAGACTTTTCTACCGATTAGACGTGTTCTCAGTGGATTTTTCCTAGTTGAGAGAAAGCTGGAACAAAGACAAGATGCAGCCCTTGACAGAATATCGCTTTGAAGGTGGTTTCCAAGAAAAGAATATTAACCATGTCACTTATCACTCACTAGTATGTAAATAGTTATTTTTATCTTTTGTTTTTTATTCTTCCAGAGACCCGCAAAATGCACGGCGTGAAGCGGGTTCTCATCTTCTGCCTGCTGATTGTGATACTGCCGGCCACGCTGATCATTATGCCTTTGCACCTGCGCAAATCAGTGTTCGCCGATGTCGTTTATCCCATGGCCGAGTCGGATATCATTGAAATCCGTGCGGGAATATCGTCGATCTTCTGCTCGAAGCACACCCTCAAGATGACCTCCAATTTCAATGCGTTTCAGCTGCGTAACAAACCGGAGATTTCCACAAATCGCAAACACATTCGTCTGAAGAAATCGATGACCCTGCCCGACGATACCCTGGAATATTGGGGATTCTTTCTGCTCAAAGGCGCCAATGTGAGGGTCAAGTTCTGCTCCCGTTTTGATGGATCGCGTATCCTTATTGTCAAGGGCCAGCGGCAGCTAAATCTCTGCGGTCTGACGGACCACAACAAGAACAAACTGGGCGCCAACTATGCCAAGGGTCACGAGCAAGTCAAGGTCTTCTTTGAGGACAAGATGGAGATGGAGGGCCCATCGCCAGCTGCCGATGGCGGGGTGCTTGAGCATGAGAATCACGGAGGCGAAGACTTGAGTGAGGAACCATCAGCGCAGCAGCAGCCCTTGGATCTACCCACTGGCCTGACCCTCTCCGGATCCACTGCTACCTCCACGAAACCCATAAGGAAGAAGCTCAAGAAGGGAACACTTCATCTCCAACAGATGCCCATCACGCATCATCCTGGCCACGCTTCGACTGGTACACACCACAATCCCGATCACACTGCGAGTGGTACACCAGATCGACCCGAGGCGGAACACAATTTAGGCGGTAGAGTGGTTGCCCCTGCGCTGCAGAAGCGGCAGCGAAAGCGAGAGCTTTACGAGCGGCTCTACAACCGCACAAAGCGAGAGAATGTCTACGACAGGAAGTACAGTCACGGCGGAAATGCCGTCAACTTTACAGAAACGGATGAGTCCAACTCGGTGTCGAGTTTTGAGAATGGCCTGTTCCTGTGCTTCAACGGGGCCATACTCCTGAGTGATTTCTTCAAGCCAAACGAGAACTGCACAAGTCCACACTTCATGGAGAGTGCCCCCAACAACAGCGCTCAGGCGGTACAGAATGTTATCGAAGATGGGTACTACTATTATATATTCTATAGCGACAATGACGAGGTGCGGAACGATATACACGTCATATTCGATATATATAAGCCGACCTTCCAGTACTCGAACCTGAGTGAGTCGCAGAGTTGCTTGAACACAACGGAATGCAGCTTCAACATCAGTTTCCTGTCGGACGAGATCGTGGTCGTGGAGGTGCCCACCAGGGATGGCATCGAGCATGAGGAGGACGACATCACCTATCTGGTCTCCACGTGCCATCCACGGAGCGAGATCTATGCCCTGTTCCCCATCACGGTGATGATTCTCATACTCTGCTGCTCATTCCTGTAGGCGACCGCAACAACGCTCCTTGTGACTCCACTTGTGATATTTATATATTGAGGTAACTGAGTGATATACGATGATGTGAGTTTGATATGTATATGCCGGCCCGAAACTAGAGCTTTTCACATAGCCATAGAATCCAAAATTGATTTACGGAATGAACAGTCTGAACAACATAAATGTATGCAACTTAACAAATCACTGAATACGATCTATCGACGTATTTTAAGAGAACATTTAGTCAAAGACACAAGCATTTAGGAGTGTAATATTACCAGATGGTATAGCATATAGGGAAAAACTGTATATACAAATAGATATTATATTAGTACTAGCATTACTTATGTTATTACAACTACATCATCAGTTCTCATCTTAAGAAAGGATATTTTAAAGTTTGTCTGAATCGAAAGTTGAGTATTTTGTACTTAATCAAAGTAAATCAAATATTTTCATAACTAAACCATATTTTTCATAATTTTTGTTATTTTTAAAGACTAAATTGTATCATTTACCTTCTCTAATTTCACTTGAAATGTATTAAGAATAATAAAGAGAAATAAAACTAATAAAATCCCATACGGTTTCCGCAAAAAAATATGCAATAAAATAAGTAAGTTGTCTATATTTCGTATGGAAAAATTATCTCCCTGTCATTATCTTTATAGAATTACTGTTTCGTTTGGGGGAGTGGCCTAACACACTCGTTGGGGCATGATTTTCCACTCTAATTTGAGGGCAGAAATACCACTTTGTTGGCTTTAGTTATTTTAGATTAATTCACACACAAGTCAGCTGTCGAGTGAGTATTATTAATGCAAATATTTACTAAAAATGTGTTTGCAGTTGAAATGCTCATAGTAAATGAATGGAAATCAACAATATTGTCATCAGAAATGGATTAATTCCCTTAGTTCATTTTCGTTTCTGTGTAGTAGGTGGTGGTCTAGGTGGTGTACATAAAGTGCCTTAGCGCATATGATTCAAGCATAGTTGCACTAAGTTACGGCCCTAATAAATGGTTTAAGAGCATTGCAAATAACTAAGTGGAACAGATATTTGAAGTTTTATTTGAAGTGTAACGTACTTCGATCACTGAGTGTATTATGACAGAAGCAGAATGCTATGGAACTCTACATATTCATGTGAATAGTTCATGTAAAATCCCTGCGATCATTAGCGCCAATGAGCCATTTCGTATGTAGATGATCATGTAGAAGTTGAGACTTACCGTTGTCCCCATGAGATGTTTGCTTTTTATTCATGTTCCTTTTTATCAAATATGACCGCGACAATGTCCTTTTCAGGACTCAACAATGTCTTTTACATTCCATAGTCGTTTACGTTTTCTTACGTTTTATGTTGCTGGCAACATTAATTTTGTATGGGGCAGACTCATGTGCCGTGAAATCGAGCAGCACTGTTCCCCAACATGGCGCGGATTGAGCACATTTTGCATACCCTGGGAAATGGATATTATAGAACTGAGAGAATGTTTGTCATCTAAGGCACCAATAAAGGCCAAAACTGTTCAGTATCTGTTGAAAAGGTATTTCAACGAGATTTTAAAGGTTGTGGTCTTCTTACTTAAACCAAATATGGGTATAGGTATATATATATCGATATATTTACAAGACCCTAATCATATGCATTAATACATATGTCTAAAACATAACAATCTAAGATAATTTCTTTATTAATTAATTCAACTTACCTTGATATAGGGTAGAGCGGGTAGAGCACTACGAAGTTGCCTTGCCCATTTCGACAATGATAGCGCCCTCCATGAAATCTGAACCTTGAACAAAATATGCCTTTGATATATGACTGACATTTGCACTTTTCTTACTGCTATTCTTTTACTTCTTGGTTATGCAAGCTACATTTGAATAATATTCTCACCATTTTTAGCAGGATCCTGGGTATGAAGAGAGGACTGCGGCGACGGACGGAGGTGGATAAATAACAATAACCCGGTTGCTTTTAATAATATCCGTGTTGAGGTGGCGCCTGCTAGAGATACCAGCAGGCGGCGGTTAATACCACCCATTTAGGTCTGGCGGCAGGTAGCGCGGATCCATTATTCCCTTAAATTACACTTAAATTGATCGCTTTCATAAATCACTACGATTGACACTTGTCCTAGATGCCAGATCAATCGGATATAACAGGATATCGAAATACTCCAAGGGTTTCATTTAGCACATTTGACCGAATAAGAGAATGCGAGTGTCAGAGATTTGAGAGCTGCGCCGTTATGGATTTAATAACTTAACAGTGACTGTGTATTTGTTTCAATTAGATATGCTGTTAAATACCCTATAGAACTTATTGAACACAATCGAACACAATCGAACACGATCGAACACATATCTTAATTGAAATGGCGAATAGTTCCTTATCATAATTGTTACGCAGTAGTGACAGAGAGTACAGGTGTAATATCTTATCTTATTGGCGATCGATAGCAAGCATTCACTAGAAATAGATCACTTGGAAATTTCCACAGAAAACTAAGGGTAATATATTTGCCTACTAAATATTTCGAAAAATCATCGTACAAGATTTCCTTCCCTTAACCTAGGCAATGTTTCTCCAAAAACCTGGTGACAGCACTCTTTTTCTCTCTCTCTTTCTGTGCTCTTTGTTAAACAAGCGGGGAAGGAAATAAATATTTCCATGGAATTTAATTAATTAAATTCTAAAGTGTAATATCTAATGCCTATTTTTGTCCATGTTTCTCTTCTGCCTTTCATTAATATTTTATTTATAGGCTTTTTCCAATCAGTCTTCACTTTGCCTTAAGGCTGCAGCCGGCTCTTTATGCCGGCAACGTTATTTCTCTCTTATTTATTTTCCTCCCCTTTGTCATGCGCATGTTTTGTGCTCTCTCTGGTTTTATCGCTATTATCACGCTCTCTGTGTCTCTCACGACAACAAAAATGTAGTGAGAGCCACCACACCTTAACCCATTACGGGCCGCTCCTAAACGGCTCGAACGATTTTGATGATATTCTGATATGCTTCCTATCCAAACATCTGAAATATAGTCAACTCGTATTACCTATTAGTTATACCTTCAAGGTATATATTAATACAAAAAAAATATATATATAGTCTGAGGCTTCTTTTTTTATTTTTATAATTTTTGACAATAAAAAATAAAAACAAACAAAAATGGAAAATTAAAATTTTCCAGAAAAATTCCTTACATTATTATCATAAAGAAATATATATTTCCGCCAAAAGATTTGCTTTGCCCACTGTGCATTGGCTCTAAATGGGTTAATCGGATATACTTTGAAACAAAACTGCTCGCTCTCTTCTTGGGTCAGAATTTCGCGCCATTCATTCTCTTTCGTCAGTTTCAACGCGCGAGATTCCGGCCCGTGAGCGTCAGCGGGTAGAAAATAATATTAATTAAATATATTAAGTGCCTCGATTAATACAAATCGCATGGATGACAGGCCAAGCAATTAGATTGAAAACCGAAAAACGTGAGTGCCATCAAAAGCAGCGGAGCGAACGAGTCCAAAAAGGACTGGAAGCGTCGTCCTGCGCGGGGCAAGCATGTGAGAGGATGTGCAAAAAATCAATTTGTAAGTAACGGCGACTGGTGCAGCAACAAAATCTCAATTAAAATGTACCTGAAATGATATTGGTGCAAAATGTGAAACCATTTTGTCAGCATAAAATTTCGGCTAAACATAAACCAGCGCGCGTTTTTAGTGTGTCAAAACAAAAGCAAAAAGGCAGAAATATGTACATATACATATATACACAAAAGTGCAGCCAAAAAGAGGGCAAAAGGTAAAAGCAACAACAATTTTGCATTCAGAGTAGCCGAAAAGTGAACAAACGGTAATAAAAATGTGAGATTCCAATTGGAATGCAAGTGAGCGCACGAAAAAGGAAGAGGGGACGACGTAGTAACGTTACCCTGCATTGAACTATGAGCACATCTACTCTATGATGGGACTTGTTTTTTGTGCTTTAATTTTAATTTTTTGTAGTGCATTGGTAAAAATAAGTGCATCTCCTTGTAGTGCAGTGTAACTTGGCGAACTTTTGTTGGAAATATAGTTTGTGCAACAGGTTGCAAATAAAATATTATTAATTTAAGCCAACCATCTGTTGCTTATATGCTCTATGCAGCTGCATCGATGCTCATAAGTGCTCGACGTAACTCAATAAACACAATCAAATCAAAAATAATCTGTCTAGGGTATTCCATATTCGTTAGGCTCTTGTGTCTGTCTAGTTTTTGTTATTTTTAATACGCTGTCCGTCATTCCCGCAAACAGCTGCCCTTTGCATCTCTCTTTCTCTCTCTGTCGCTCTGCAGTTGTCATTTCCGTTATGCGTTTTGTCTGCTCGCACCGCTGCCGGTGCTCCCTCCCCCATAAGTTCCCCTCGGTGACCATTCCAGGGGTGATTTGCCTTCGGCAGAGAAATGCATTTATTTTAATTTATTTGTGGTTCGCATGTGCTACTCGTACCGGGGGCGTACGAGCTCTCTCTCAGTCCCACTTCGACTCTCTCTTTCAATTGCTGCACATGTGATTGTCTGACGCCTCTCCGATTAAGTGCTGTTTGTGCCTTGTTCCCATCATATTTGGACGGCACCCCATGCGGAGGACGGGGGAGTGAGGCTGCAGTACGATTGCAGTGGCGCAGAAGCTGGCACGGCACTGATAAGCGAGCATCTCTCTCTCAATAATTCTGCGCTTGTTGTTGCCTGTTGCTTGATGTAGCCAAGGGCATACTGGGTCTCTTGGAACTTCGCACTGCCAGAGCTGACTCTCTGGGTGGAAGGTAATTACTACCATTAATAGGTATTTACTGCAACGTCGCATAGCGTTTGCGCAACACACATGCCCCATGCAATGCAAATACCTATCATTCAAAAGGCGGAAGAGCGATAACAGAAAAAGCAAAGCCCCAGAATTGTAGTTCATCAGCACTGAAGCTGTGTACGAGGGTGTCGTATGTTCCGTACACTGTATTAATCCACATCATTCCCCCCTGTTCCGCTGACGTAGCCCCAATTATTATCCAATTAAATTCGCACTTGAACATGTTAGCTAAGCGCCTGATTTGACTCGGAGCAATCCCCCATGCCAATAGTTCATCGCAATCTCAAGTGCCACGACTGCAATTGCCTCTTGAGGCACGAGAGGGTGTCCGATAGTATGTTTATTTCAAGATTAAACATATGTATAGAACCGCATCGGAGGCGACAAGAGAACGCACATAAATGTGCTGTTGTCTAGGTCATTGGGCTACTTTGTCAAAATACTCGAAAATTCATAACCTCTGACCCAATTCTGATTTCCCCCCAAGAGAGTTTAAACAACAGAACAGACACACCATCTAAAAGAATATCTTAATCGTTGGCAATAGATACAAACAACATTTCTGTCAATAATTCATTTAGAGAACCCCAAATCCAATCAATGTCCAGTTCCATTCTTTGTCACTGCTCTTGTCATCGTGACTAACATGATAAAGACACGATCCATCATTATATAGACATTACACAACTGGTTTCTATGATCAGCTAAACAAGCAATCATTAATTATAACAGTCTTTTGAAGAAATAACTTTTCAGCTAGATTTGCGAAACATGTAATTGAATAGATGACTAATCTACCCGGTACTTGAAAGGGTATGTTGGGCTTCTGCTTTCAAGTAGATATCCTTATTGTTTATTTATATAAAAATTTTCGGAATCCCACAATCTCTATTCCCCAAACTAGTCATCGACATTAATGAAATTTTCCCTAATGATGGAACCGAAAGTTAGTCCAGAAACGGATGCATGCCGGCCATATTTCTTTTTGTCGCTCGATAACCACACGAGTAGCCCCCCGCTGAAAGCCACAGTTCCACATTGATAACCAGCAACACATTGTATTGTATATATATTTTTTTATTTTATCTGCAAGCAAAACAATTGAAAGTGAAGTTACATAAAACCGACCACTACACAAAACATTTTCATTTAAAATACTCATATGTTATGCTCCCAAAACAAAAAGAACCAAAAAAACCAGCAAAAATAACAGAATTGAATTGAAACTTGAGCGGAATCGTGGAGCGTGGCTGATTTTATTGCCCCAAGAGGAACGGCGGCGGCCAAACAAAACAATTAAACAATTGGTTTGGGTTCTCGTTTGCCCGTTTGCCCGTTTGCCGATTGCGGTTCTATTCGGTTCGGGTTTGGTGTTCAGGTTACGGGTTTGGTTATGAGCTTCGGTGCGGTGTAAACTGTCACGATAGAGTGGTCAGAGGGCAAGCGCCAAAAGCGAATCTATTAAACGAAATGACATAATAATATATCCATTTTCACTAAACACTCAGCCAACATCTGCCTTAAACTATGTTTATAAAGAGATTAATTGAAGAATGTTCCTTTAATTTTTTTGGAATAGCTGTGCAGGGTATCTTAAAAGATAAAAAGACTTTTTACAGCTTTTCACTAAGATCCCTTCTTTGTAGTTTTTTCACATCTCTATATATTTCTTAAGCTTTTCCATAAAGTGATTTAAGAAAAATCGTATTATAAATGATATTAGATAATGTTAAGTGCGCTCATAAAAACCTTTATATTCCAATAAAAATTTAATCCACTATAAACATTTTATCTATCCCCCTGCAGACACAAATTTGCTAAATAAATTGTCAATGATAACACCCCGTGTTGGTATAATTGTGTGTGCATAAAAAATATTTGATAAATAATATATGTATGTACATGGTCAATGAAAGAAAGAAGTTCCAGTTGTATAAATTATAGGCACGTTGTCAAATGAGTTCATATTCGTGATTTGAAAATAGATAATTACATAATTTTCCCCTTTTTTTGCTGCCAATTTTCAATTGGAAGCTACTGCACTTATGGCGGAGTAGATTCTAAAATTAGATACAATATATAGTATTTAAAAGGCGCGGCAGGCCTCCTTCGTCTGGTATCTAGAGATGACAGGCAAATTTTGTTACGGTGTTAAATTGCGTTTAATTGCTGGAAATGCATTTGCTGGAATGGAACTCGAAGTGGAACTGCAGGTCCGCTGGCATATGGTACATGCCTAAATTTTGCAATTAATTCATTTGCAATTACAATTTCAATTGAGAACTGGAGGCATCAACGGAGGTCGGGGTGAGCATTGGGGCACCACCCACATTCTGCCATTGAATTCACACACACACACACACACACAAACACATTCAACGAGACACAGGCACAAATTGAAATAATTTCTGCTCGGATGCGGTTCCATGGATGGCCTTTTAGGCTCAGGGTCCAAATCCTTGACCTGCTTCCTGGCCCTCCTCCACCTCCACTCGTATATGCGGGTATCTGAAACTATCAAAGTTATCGATCCGCAGCGGAACGGACACTAGTTTGGCCAATCCAAAGAATACCACCAGACCAATCAGAACTGTCAGAATCAGTTGTCCCAGGGCCACTGAAATATATTTATATGTATATAGTATGAAAACTAAAGCTAATTTATGGGTTTACTTATCGGAAGAACTTCCTTACCTTTGCTGGAGAGCCACGGCAGCTGAATTTTAGATGATATCATTTCACTATGGCATCCGCATTGGAAATGAGCATTAAGACCTTTTTGGAATTCGAGTTGATTCAAACGACACTCGAGTTTAGTGTAGAGCAGGCAGCTGTTCAAACAAAAATTACGTGTATGATCTATTGAGCTAAACCGATCTTACAGTGGTGTCTGGGAATAAAGTGGAAGCTGCTGGAAGATGTTGAATAGTGCCAGACAGAAGTATAGACGCGTTACAGGTGTAAAATGTGTGAGTGAATTCCTTCTCCCAGTAAATAGATCTCTGCAGAACCAATAAGTTACGCCTATAAAGAATAGCCTTGAACAAACTATATTGCTGAAGTTTTTGAGGGCAAGTTTCGTTTGGCAATCTATACCTAAACAGGAAACAGACCAAGTGTATTTCAATTGATAAAAACCAATTCCCAAAAATTGATTTGGTTAATAGATTCGTAATCGAATAGTATTAGACAACTTTGGCTTGCCGGCAAATCTTGACCCACAAAATGTGATTGGAAAATAGAACCATCAAACGTTATCGTTATGCATACTGCGTGCCAAACCTTATAATGATAAAGTGTAAATATAAAATAACGATAACGCTTAAGTAGTGGCTCACTGATAAGTCCCCGCCCCAGGCCCCAGGCCCAAGCCCAGGCCAAACCGCATACGCAGACCCATGTGATTCATCCAAAACAAAATCAATTAGTTTAATGACCAAACCATATAATATTATCGCGTTTTGGAAAAGGCACCACAAGACGGTTGCCGAACAGAGTGTGTCTGCTTTTTCCTGCTGATAAAACTTACATTACGGAGCGGCAAAAGAGAAAAAAATTCGTAAAAAGTGCAGTGGCATTTTGCTTAAAACTCCCTCTCATTCAATTCTCCGGTTGCATTCTTAAATGAAACGTTTCCTTGTCTGGCTCTTGAGCTGCTTTCACATCAGCTATACAAATCTTAAATTTTGAAGCGCTTAAGAGTTTATTAAGATTTCTTGTTACAGCTGTTTTTGGCACAGCTGAAATTGTTAAAACAAAATAAAGTGCGAACAAAAGTGGTTACATTTCTTCCTATAAATTGTCAGGCATCGAAGTGAAATTCAAGAAGTATCCAAAAGATATCCCTAGTAAACAGCAGATACTCAAAGGTGCAGCAAGTGTTATACAGAAATTTCTCCTCAGACTAATAAAGTGCACAAGAAAAATTCAAGAGATCGCTAATCTAATGTAATGATACAAATAATTGGTGTTTGATTTTAATTAAAAGTAGCCCCATCATATTTAGCGTCACGAAACACCTACAGTGCTTGCAGATAAATATTATTTATGAATACCTAAATGAAACCCAACGAAACCTTAAAAAAAGGCCGACACCACACCTCTAAAAGTATTTCTCATTCAAGTGTCAAAAGTGTAATTGGCTTTGTTCGGAATTTGCTTAGGAAAAACTCAAACATAATGAATGTTTAGATAATTTCTGACGTTGTTTTGTTGTCTTTAAGTCTTATGACCCCAACTCGAAATTAGACAAATTTGCTGCAAATACTTTTGGCCATTCCATCGTTAAAGATGTTTACAAAGATTTCGCTCGCTCATTCACAAATACATCCATAGATAGTCCATATGTGTATCTATCTTTGAGTAAAGGCCAAAAAAAAATCAGCTGAAATTCCAGCTATCTGGAGAGGAAAACAGCGAAACGTGCATAGTTGAAATGAAACTGCAAATAAAAATGTAAAAAAATAAAAGTAAATAAAACTAAAATGTTTTATGAAATAAATATTTATCAAGCAGACGCGTGAATGCAATGAGCGACTCTCTGCGAAGAATTGTCACGTTTTTGCATGAGATTAACACAGTCTCAGAACGATGGAAAACCGAAAAAAGCCACAGCCAGTACAATATTCAGATAAATGACACTTGTTAATGAGCGACAGACGAGTGCAGAGTGCAGATGCCTCATAGTTCGGGGTTTCAATCTCTATATACACATGTTTCTATAAAGCAGATCTTGTATTGCAGAAGATGTAAGATAAAACCAAAGGGGAAATAAATCAACCAAAGAAGAAAGTACCCCAAAAGTGGATTAACAAGAGATCCACCACTACCCCCGAACCGAATCCCAAAACTAAAGCCAAATGACTGCCAATAGTCTGCTAGGACGATCCATACTAAATGAAGGTGAGTTCTTAAACTATTGTTTTTGTATCCATAACTAATCCTTTCATCTGTCCCGTAGGACGTTCAAATAAACGATCTTTTGTCTCGCTGATTGTGGGCCTCATCGTGGGCTTCTGTCTGGCCGAGCTTTTCGTGTACTCCACGCCGGAACGTGGCGAGTTTATGCCCTACGATGGTCACCGGCATGGCGATGTCAACGATGCCCATCACAGTCATGATATGATGGAGCTGCAGGGACCGGAGCAGGATGTGGGCACCCATGAACATGCTCATGAGAATGCCACCATTGCGGAGAAGCTGTACAGCGAGGTGCGGGTACTGTGCTGGATCATGACCAATCCGACGAACCACCAGAAGAAGGCGCGGCACGTGAAGCGCACGTGGGGGAAACGCTGCAATAAGCTGATCTTTATGAGCTCCGCCAAGGATGAGGAGCTGGAGGCTGTCGCTCTGCCCATAGGCGAGGGCCGGAACAACTTGTGGGGCAAGACAAAGGAGGCGTACAAGTACATCTATGAGCACCACATCAACGACGCCGACTGGTTCCTGAAGGCCGACGACGACACCTACACGATAGTCGAGAATATGCGCTATATGCTGTATCCGTACAACCCCGAGACCCCTGTCTATTTTGGCTGCAAGTTCAAGCCGTATGTAAAGCAGGGGTACATGTCCGGTGGCGCCGGCTATGTCCTCAGTCGCGAGGCAGTGCGTCGCTTCGTCGAGAAGGCCCTACCCGATCCCAAATTGTGCAAGCAAGATAACACCGGTGCTGAGGATGTAGAAATAGGCAAGTGTCTGGAGAATGTCAAGGTGCTGGCAGGAGACTCCCGCGATGCCAATGGACGGGGACGGTTCTTTCCTTTTGTTCCCGAGCACCATTTGATACCAGCGCACACAGAGAAGAAATTTTGGTACTGGCAGTACATCTACTACAAAACCGACGAGGCTGGTTTCTGAACCCTATTCGAATATTTATAGATTCCTAATGTGTTTCCACTCTTTTAGGGCTTGGATTGCTGCTCGGACAATGCCATATCCTTTCACTACGTCTCGCCAAATCAAATGTATGTCCTGGACTATCTGATTTACCATTTGCGGCCCTATGGAATCATCAATGCACCCGAAGCTCTGCCCGCAAAGCTGGGTGTGGGAGAGGTTATGCCAGCTCCAAAAGAGCCAGTGACTGAAACGTCCAGCGAGAAGGTGTCAAAACGATCCGCGGAAACTGAGACCAAGACACAGTAAATGATGAGAGGATAGGATGGCCCGCCCCCTGGATGTAGATATATATCTGTTGTATATAACTCTAAGCTATGCTAGCATTGCCATTACCATATCCATTTCCATTTAGTCTACAAGTAGATTTGCCCTTCGCCTTAGTTAAATTTTCCCTTGCGTTTCCAATTGTACAAAATACCAAAATTATATATAATTAGCTATTATTTAGAGTCTGTTACTTTAGTTTCTAACTAAGTGTACTTTATATATTATATATATATTTGCGGAGCTATTCTTCTTCACTTAGTTATAATTCGATATGATATCGCGGTTTGTGCCTAAATAATATTGCGATATTACGGTATTTCTCTTTGTTGTTTTGAAGATAAGGCCAAAAAACGACTATTTAGTTATATATTTCGATATATTACAATATCTTTCTTGTGATTGAGAGGCATTACGTATTACCATTTACAGTCTACTACTAGTTATAAATAATATTTAATAAAACGATATTGTATTAACAGAATATTGCATTTATTAAAATCTACATTTTATTCAAATACAAAAGGCACTCAAAGCACCATCTGTTGTTGCTCTCCGGACAATTAAATTGGTTGTGAACTTAGCTAAAAAGCAGTGTCAGCCGTCAACCAAGCAGTTTCGCCCTGCTATAAGCAGTGAACCAAGCAGTTTTATACCATTTACCAAGCAATGCAGTAAGCAGTTTTAAGCTGTTTTCAGCATTCCAACAAGCAGGATGGCCAAGCTGTGCAGAGCAGTTTTTTTGAATATACTTAGAATTGTAATAAATTTTTAATTTTATTTCAATATATGTATGTACATGTCTTGATTTTTTTATTATTCAATTTTTTCAGCTAAATTTAACCTGATTTCAATCAATTTCCCAAAAAATGGCTAACTTTTCAACCTAGGCCAGTAAGGCCAGTTAGGCCAAGGCCTAAATACTTGGACAACAATAAAACTGTCAAAACGTCAACCATTAAGCCGGAAATGTCAGCTTTCTGGACCACAAAGCGCGGTGCGGAACCCTATTTAATTGATTCGTGCTAAGTCGGCGCTGGCAGTCGCCTCACAGAGCCGGAAGACATTTTTGTAAGCCTCCCCCTTTTTCGTTGTGTAATCTTTGTATAAATAAATCTAACTAATACATATACATATATTTCAGGCAGCATTAACATTACCGCACACAAATCTTGTCCATCTATTATGCAAAATCCGCTTGCTGTGCGCACCCGGGAATTATTTATGCGACATTTTGTAACCGAAGAGGATATTTGGCTGCTGTTGATTTTCGCCTATTCCTAATTGTGTATTGGAATGCATTTTCCTATGGCGGTATGCAATTAAAATTGTTTAATCTTTTTGCACTAATTTGATTATTGATGCACGTAATTTGTTGCTACTTCTGCAGGCAGTCGGTGGATCCTTGGGTTCAGCGATGTGTGCGGCAATTGAAAAACTTTTCCATTGGCATCCGGAAAAGTGTAAGAAAAGTGGAAAATTTGTTTACCGCCAAAAGGCAGAAGGCTGTATGCTCTGTATATGCCCTTGAAAGGGCCATTATCAGGTGAGTTATAGGTTTACGGGAGATGCATAAATAGGAAAAGTGCCAGAGTCTGCAGTTCTCTATCTTTAAACGCTCATAAGTATTGGAATTGGGATTTTAATCTCTCAACCTAAATGCATCTGTGCAAAAGCTTGCCAGGAATTTCCTTTGGCTGAACTGCGGCACAAAAGACTTGGGACTTTCTATTCAATTTTCATTCATTTGATGACGGGATTTTACTTAACTAATGCAAGCTTTTGGATACTCTTCTTTTCTCCACAAGAACCCTGAGCTGAATGGAATTATATTCCTAAAAATTAAAATTTTTCTCTTCCCCTTTTTTTTATTGTGTTTCTTATTTTATTACACCTCCATCATGCCCCTAGGGTATGTTAGGGTATGTTAAAATATTTGTAATTTGCAGCAGATGCAACTTTTTCCCTATTCAATTTTTTGTGTCTCTGCTGCTGCCGTTTTTCCTCACTGAAGCGTTAATGAAAAACTTTGACATGGAATAAGAAACTGCAGCAGCAGCTCAGAACTCACGGCAGAAGTTCTCACGGCAGAAATTCAGGAAAATAAAGCAAAGGAAATGGAAATGGAAAGGTAAAACATGAAGAAAATCTGATGAAAGAATAACAAGGCTACTACGAGTGCGAGTGCGAGTGCTCGGGTATTCCCCCTGGTTCCATGGCGGCAACATGGCGTATGATTAATGCTGCCCAAAGCCTGGCAGACGCCTCAATGAAAATCAATTAATTAACGACAACAACAACAGGAGAAGGAGAAGAGGGAAACCCCGAAAGGGAAATGGAAAAACAAAAGGACACGCGCTCTTGTCTCCTCATGAATGAATCAACCATTGAATGAATGAATGAGTGTAATGACTCTTTCATTAAGCACTGGACCGTGAATAAAGCATTGAGCAGCCAGTCAGCCACCCAAACAGTGTGGCAGAGAGGCAGATCATTGGGGCACAGTGAGAGGCAGGAGCGGCAGCAACAGGAGGGCACTGCATAAATTTCCATTTAGTTAGACAAATGTGACAAAACGGAAATTGCAAACGGAGCACTTGGCAGCAGTTTCTCTCTCTCAGCAGCATTCCACTTCCTGTTGGCAGTCGGCTAGGAGTCCCAGAAGGCTGCCAGAAGCTGAAGCTGGCAGCCCATCCGAAGGATCCTCTCCTTTATTGGCATTTCGCAGCCTGGCATCTCTCCCCAGACGGTTAAATAAATGATGAACACGTTGAAGCATATTGAAATGTAATTCATAACGTAGCAGCATCGCATCGCATCGCATCTCGTGTCCTGTTGCTGCTCCATGACTCCTTCTCCGTATTTGCGACATTACCTCTCCCTTTGCTCGGTATGTGTCGTTCCGCATTGCGCATACGTTGCACAGGATACGCCATTGGGCTGGGGCGGCCACTCTTTTCCACATTGATAATTGAATTATGCAACGGCCAGAGCTGCCATTGTAATTCAATTATGAACAGAAAGTGACTCGACAATGCCACCTGCAATCTCAAGGAAATTTATGAACTTCCACTGAATGGCATGCCATAGATTCCTCAATATTTCATCTTCAGGTTAGGCAAACTCATGGTTTGTTTGCGGTTTGGCTTGGTTTCTCTCAGTAATTTGGTTAGTGTTTTGTAATTGAATGTTTCGCCTTCTTTGGCATCAATTAAGCCATGCGGTTAGGCAAATTTATTTACTAATTTCGCTTTTGACGTGAGGTGCATTGCATGTAAGGCATCCTGTAATTTGAATCATTCAAATAAATTAAGTTTTCAATAATTTAAAAACTGTAAATCGACTAATGAGGTTTTAAACTGGTTAAGTAAATTAATGATCTGCTAGTAATGGCAACACTTAAATTCCAAATTTAATGCCATGCCAACCATGACTGTTTACTTCCCAATGCATTTGGGACTTCCTTGGCACTTTCTTTACCACTTTAAAAACTGAAGTCCTTACTTCAAAAGGTATTCACAAATCAATGGACTGTCCTTCCTAAGTGATTTTATTACTCTTTCCTTTAGAACTTCCTTCAGAGAACAGATTAAATTCATATTTGTAATCAAATTATAAAAGTTTCAGGCAATAATCACTTGAATTTTTAAACATTAAAAAGTTTTGCACTTGCCATTTCCATGGCATTTTTATCTTCGAAAAGAATCTTGATTGGCCAGTAGCAAACGGAAACTGAAACTGAAACTATTTAAACAGTCATCAATTTTGTAATGGAATTAAAAATATCAATTAAAATTTCACCAGCAAAAAGGGGCTGTGGGGCTGGTTATTTACTTGCATTTTCTCGTAATCCATTGGGGATTGAGTGGCCTTTTCAGTTTAAGTTCTTGACATATCGGCTTGCCACACATCTCTGACTCTGTGGAGAGAGGATAAGCCTTAAGTTTTGGTTCTGCCTCTGATGTCCGTACTTGTAGTTTCACTTTCGGCCAGCTGTCTTGGCCTACAGCCCCGCACATTCCATTGGCCCCTAACTGAAAACTTTCATTGGCCACTTTTGGGTTCTGATTTCCTTCTTTTTTGGTTTTTTCTTTTTTCCGCTTCTTTCTTCTTCGGTTTCTGCTTGCATTACGCGCTGACAAACTTTATTATTTCGCTAAAAACTTTTTAATGACAAAATCAAATTGGTGCAGGCCGGGACAAAAAAAAGTTGTGGCCAAGAAAAGAAGGAAGCCAACAACTGTCGCTGTTTGCCATATAATTTGGGGCTTATTAAAGTGAATCAGCAGAGTCCTGGGGCAGATGTTGAAAAATTAGAGGACATCATTTCATGTCAACTGCACTGTGAACGAATCGAATTTGATTTAACGCACGACATGAGCAGCAAAATTAGCTCTCCTCAAAGTGTTTCATGCCACATTAAGTTGCAACTACTTACCATCCAAATGCTCCTTTTCTCGGAGGGAACGCCCAGAGGACCATACATTCTTTCATGAATGAATCATTCTTTCATTGTGTGGCAGTGGCATACAAAAGTGTCGGGCCATCAAGGATATTGAATTTAAAGCTCAAATGTTTATGTTTATCGATTATTCGATACACAAACACACACACGAATACACATATAGTTTTTCTTTCATTGATGAAGCATTTTTATGACACAGCAGAGAGTGGGGACAGTGCGGTACAGAAGTATATATACAAAATGTGCTATGAATGTGCTTCGACTTCTAAAGTATTTGTTTGTCGATGATTTCATTTAATCTCTAATCCCCAATTCTATCTTATACCAAGAAAAACCAATAAACAACAAAACATATGGCCTAATTTTTCCAATAAACTCTCAATCGTTACTATATATAGCCGGCCGGCTTATAGCTGCGAACCGCACTGTAGACATGTGAGGAATGGACGGTCAAATGGTTATGTGGTCGTTCCATCAAATGCCCCGACAGCCGGGTGCTGGTAGGAGGAGGAGCGTCCATCGAAGACATCGAAGTGGATGAGTTCTTGCGAGGGTGTCGTCGGTTGTGGCTTCGTCCATCCCCCCCTTAATGGCCGCAGCCCCATCTCTGGAAGCGGGGATAATTGCAAACTATTTGTCCGGACCCCACAGAAAGAAAAAGGTTTCTCCCTGGTGTAGAAATAAGCGGGCCCCCATAAAAACGAAACTAAAATGCAATTTTTTAGTGAATTAATGTGCTGGGAAGGATTGGAAGGTTGCCATGCCCGAACAGGCATTACCATCAATCAAAGGCTTGTCAATTTAGAGGGGGAACAGGGCAGAGTCAGGGGCGGAAAGCTACATGTTGCAATGCAAAATCAATAAAGAGGAGGAGGATGGAGGAGGAGGTGGGGCCCTGTGACTCATTTATTTAAACAATCAGTCCGGAAGCCGAGCCAAATGTGACTCAAAACTACATTTGTTAGACCCGTTTAAGGGGGGATATTTTCTATCTTTTTTCCATTTCTTTTTATGCTTTG